TGTTCTGCAGTACCCTGAATCTGCAATGGCTAACTACGCCACCCTAGTGACCTTCCAGGTTTCAGCTGGCCTCTTCACATTCTTATATCTAATTCTCAACATAAATCATTTTGAACCAACATGGCTTTGTTTTTATCTTTATTAATGTACCCATTTTAGATTACACTATGGGGTTATCAACATACTGTAAACACAGGATTTACCTGTTTTCAAAGTTAAGATAGTCTATTTTACATATAACATATAGACAAAACATTTATTTTTGTAAAGATACCTTTTTGATTCTATGCACCTTATACCAGGTCCATGTTCTTTAGGTTTTTACGTTGAATGTATTTAAAAAGTTATAAAAAGGTATTATAGTTTGAATAAGCACATGTCATGATAATTATTAATTAGAATTAAAAATGTTTGTATCTTATCAGAATTTACATATCTAAAAAAAACGTAACACTGATTTATTTGATTTGAATGGTTTATATATATTAGGATTTCTTTTAGATTTTCTTTATGTTATTTTCTGTAAATAGGTGTTGAGTAGAAAACTGTTCTGGTCCCCAAAAATGTGACCAGACTAGAAAATTAAAAGACTCCAATATTTGATAGTTTATATCCCAGGCACTCAAAATAATTAAGGCCCATAACCTGACCGTCCTATGTTACATCTAATTCTACATGTCTATTTCTTTGAACGCATGGGTTTTCTGGGCTTAAGATGAACTTATGTTTGCGTAGGCCTTTTTTCATCAAGATTGGTTCTCGCATGTTCAGTATGTTCCAATTACTGTTAGGATACAGATGATCATGTGGTGTTGTTAGCCTAATAATATAACTTTCTTTCTCATCAGACTGTCCCTATTAGTAAAAAATGCAAATTGTGCCACTATTTCGGTCTAGTGCTCAGCTTTAAAAACATGGATAATTAGATGATTAATCTATATAATTTAATTTTAAATTTTGGTGCTGTGTATTCAAATATAAACAGTTATATAGAAATAATCTGAAAGTTACTGTGTTCATGGTAAGGTTTGCATGTGAAAACGAACAAATTGAGATGCTTAATATTATTTCGCAGAGCCTTCATAATATGAAGTATGAAGTCACAAAATATGTGTTCCATTAGATAACATAATATAAAAGATATATATATGAAGTATGAAATCACAAAATATGTGTTCCATTAGATAACATAATATGAAGTATGAACTCACAAAATATGTGTTCAATTAGATAACATAATATGAAGTATGAACTCACAAAATATGTGTTCCATTAGATAACATAATATGAAGTATGAACTCACAAAATATGTGTTCCATTAGATAACATAATATGAAGTATGAACTCACAAAATATGTGTTCCATTAGATAACGTAATATGAAGTATGAACTCACAAAATATGTGTTCCATTAGATAACATAATATGAAGTATGAACACACAAAATATGTGTTCCATTAGATAACATAATAGTATGAAGTGTGAACTCACAAAATATGTGTGCCATCAGATAATTAAGGACATATTTAATTTGAATTGATATATGAGCTCAATTTTAAACAAGTCAACTTTGTCAGATTCTCACATCTAAGGACATTGAGTTAAAGCCATTCAAATTAATATAAAATTCATTTATTTTAAATCCAAATGTTTACATACTGTACACAAGTCTGGTACAATAAAAAGTAGATATTCTTGTAACTACACAGCTGTCGGGGTATTCATAATTCAGTACATACAAGTTCATTGCTTCATGGCATCGTGTTATGATAATTGATAGAAGTAATAAATCAATATGTAATGCAAAGATGATGTTTTTTATAACCAACAAGATTCAATATAATTGTGAGCATTATTAAACATGAACATACACTCTAGGCCTAATTGTGGTGATTCTACTCAACTGGGAGTCTTAGTCAGTGTGAACTGGGGCCATTAAAAACCAATGGCATCAAATCTACATTGATTGAATAATCCCGGTTAAGCCATGAGGATAAGCCTAATGCTAAAATCGCTAAAATGTTATGTCGAATTATGATTATACAGAGTTACAAAACATTCATGACGTTTAGTGGAGATGAGAAAGAATTATCCCAATTTTTCATCTATTTTTAGGGTTGGTTCTGAACAGTCATGTAGTATTGGGGAAATGTTTATCAAAGAACAGAGCGGCACAGTTCTTGCTAGCCATAACTCACTCGAGTCTGATAACATTTTTCAATGGTAATCTAATATGGCAGGATTAAACCGTTATTTACACCTCTAAGCTAGAGGGGCAATTTGATACACAGCAATCAAGTTCACTTTGTAATAATTTAATTAAGTAGACCAGTTCATTGATTGTATTTAATCAATTTTGATATGGGAGTCTCACAGACTTGACTCCTGTTCCTTTGCATATACTTTTCATTGACCTAGTTCAATGTCCTAGGTCATCCCAAACTCACAGGTGATTTTCTTTATATTATACTATTACTTGAAACATATATAGCACTCATGGTCGCTTGCACAAATCTTTGAATGTTTTATAATGTATAAAGATTAAAATTGCATTCATTTTTTATATTTTTATCTATTAATAAATGTTTACTTTGTGATCATAAAAAGTTCTGAACTGTGGCATTGTAGACTATATTGATTGACTGAATACATATTTTTTCAATCTCCGGCACTAGAGAATAAAATTACCGGGAATGTTAGCAATTGTTAAAGTGGCGAATCCGGATCTTCTCAGCTCCCTGGTCATTCGGTACATTAGATTGTGGAGTATCTATGAAACAAAACATAAATACATAAAAATCTGTGGAGTTTAATGATTCATATACATTTTGGCTCATATTTATAGATCTATTCCAAAACCATTGATGTGGTTTTTAGAGTAGGTATTTTAATTTGTTACTATATTGGGACCTTTACATTAATTTCCCTAAACAGTGGTGCAACTGCGAATTGTCGGAATTGACATTTGAACAGTAAGCCTCTTGAAAATGAACAAATGAAAAACTTATTTCCCTAAACAACTATTCCAGTACATGTAAAGGTAGAGTCCCCCACTAAAATATGTCATTTGGTTGATAGAATCACTGTTGTTTCACTTTTCTTAAAAGTCTGATTGTTTGTTTAAAGATTCTTATTTTTTGTTGAAAGGGTGTTAACACACCTCTTCCTTATTTTTTGATTTTCAATTTTTACTGTATTTTATTAAAGAAAACTATGACTAGAGTTCTCGGTATGTTTGTAGGGGTAAGAGGGTACTCGAGGCTTACTAGAAATATTTGCTGTTGTCGAGGACTTGAGACTGTCAGTAATGCATGTGGAACTACATAGATCTGTCACTCCTCTTGTCATATTCCTAGGCACTGCCCATACAAAAATTTCAAACTAGTCTTATTCATCTCATCATTTATAGTAATTGTAATGAAATTATGAATGAATAAATAATTGATGTTCTTAGAATTATGCAGAAATTCAAGAAATATAGAAAATGTATTCTGGAGTAGAAATAACTGAAATGTGGAGAAAACTATGATATTTTGGCAGGCAAAGGGTGTCCTCCATACCCAGTTGCATGTCAGTTCTTACACGCAATGTTTCACTTTCTTTCACTTTCAAGTACATACTTTTAGTATACATGATTGACCTGTGGTCCTCTCTTGAAGATTTCATGGTGGGTGCTTGTCGCCAAAACGATGTTTCATTTATTATATGTTCAAAATTTGAAAGGAATTTCTGTCCTTATTATAAAATATTTTATGACTTGAGTAAATAATTCACTTTTGTATTTTTAAACTACTATGATGAAGTATGACATTTTGTTGTCAGGCTAGCCTCTCGTCCCTGGAAATGTCCTAAATATGGGCTGTTTCCCCTCCATTTTCTATTATTTTTGTGTGTCTGTGCAAGAAGCTGAAGTATGGATATATGTCAATAGAGTTGATAAAGATTTCTGACTAGCCCCTTTTCTCGGGAGCATTTCATGATAATAGAAAGCTCCTTATATACTTGGATAGACTCTGGTTGCTCGCCACAAGTTTATCAACTCTAATTATGAGATTTTGGCTGTTATCTGAGTTTGTTTACCTCAGGGGTGATAATAATGTATAAAAAAATGAGGCTAGATAAGTATAGGTTAGGATATCTGGTCTCAGTCTAGTTATTTTGCCCTTCAGGGTAACTCCTAATACCTCTCAACAGAATATGACTACACATATATCATGTTGATTATTTCCCCACCTTTATCCAATAACTTTCCTCAATGTCCAACCCCTAAATAACTTGCTATGAAGCATCTCATTATTCTCATTGACAGGTTGAATACTGGCTTCTATTATTCAATTATGGGTGCCCCATTCAGCTTCAGTGTAGCTGTCATTTATGGTTTCAAGCATGAGATGTTTATGTATTGTGACCGCTCCATGTGTGGTAGCGGGTTGTCTCCATGCGCATAAGGGGACTTATAATGTAGCTGTTTCTATTTTGTACTCTTTAGGCTCTCTATGCCTCAGCATGGTTGAGACACTGGCTACTTCCGACACTGGCGACTTTCACATTTGGCTCCATACGTTCTATCATTGGCATGCATTCTCAACACTGTGTTTATATTTTTCCATTTAATTAACCCAAACTGCTGTGCTACAAATTAGGACATGTAGTGATCAAATTTTACAGTTATAATTTTTAGCTTTTCAAGGTGAGTGCATCTTGTTGTCATTATTAACAATTAACAGGAAATAAGAAAATATCTGAAATGATAAAAATCACTTTTACATCTTTTTTGATTATTTGAATAATTAATGTAAATAAAAGATATATGGTACAAAACAAATTAGTAGTATATGTTCGTATTGGTGTGTATATGACGTTTATTTATAAGCAAGTAGTTGTCGTATAAATGGTTCGTCCTCATGGTTGCTTGCGGTGAAGAGGGATTGGTCTATAATCCATGGGTACACCACACCATGTGCAGAGTTACTGCTAAGTGCTTGCACTAACATTCCCACCTCTAACCAACACCAGCTTACAAATTATATTGACTAAGTTTTGAAATTATCATACATTGGGAAAAGTATAACACTTTAGTATATGATTTAATTCCATTTTGGGTTGGAAAATCCTGGCTAATATTGGAGATGTCAGCATGAGACTAAGTAGGAATTTATTGGTTAGACAGATCTTGCAGTTTTCCATCTGTTAATGTAAGTTATGAATATAGGCATAAACAGTTGATTGTGTTTTGAGCATTTGGAATGTTCAGATGTATGTACCTAACAGTCAGTCCAAACACAACAGTAGCCTGGAAGTTTGTTTAAATTCTACAGTGGATTTTCCTGGATTAGGCACTATTACAGAACTGTACAAGTATGTTTCATGGTAGAAAAAACAGGAGCACATTGGTAAGTGGATTAGTTTGGTTTTAGCGGAGTGCTGGTATCACAGAAATAGTGGAAAATAAAAAAGGTGAATACATGTATTTGACAAGTGAAGAATACTTAGGAGTTTGTATCGCTCATAACAGGACAGGAATTCTATTTTAACACGTCTGCGCCAAGTTTCGGGCTATACCTAAAACATATTTGTAATAAACGGGACAACGAGGTGAATAGACTAAGACGAAAAGTTATACTTTGTCTTGATGTATATACATAGATCTCAGGTAGGTGTAAGTTATTTCATAACATATATTTAGATAACTAAAGAAGAATATTTATGATCTGTAGAAAACTTTTCAGGAGAGTAAAAGAGTACTATGGATGTGGAAAATCTTATAATAATATTTGAAATTCGAAATGCTTTTGGTTTTCTATTTCAAAATTAATGAAGCTGAAAAGCAAATCTTTGGAATGTTCCAGTTGTAAATGTTTCTTGTTACAATATTTTTGTTGGGGTTCGTAATAGCTCTATTGTATGACTTAATCTGGTCTGCTCGGTTATGGCAGTATTTGAAATGTTCATTGTATTGGAATGATGGATTAATAAGTTCTTGTATGCAGAGTTTTGAGGATACCCCACACATACTCACACAGGAAACATGTTTCCTCAAAGGAAATTCTCTAGTATTCCTTACAAGAAATAGGGAAAGTTCTAAAACCAGAAACTATGAAAATCTGTTTTTAATCTTTTCAAGAAGTATATTATCTTGGATTATTAAGAAATGTGCAGGATTTCCATATATAAAAGCCAGATTAAGTCAGTTGTGTTTTATGTAAATGACTATAATAGAATCAGTAATCTGTTTCATATATATAATTTTCTGTTTAATTCAATAGTTTGATTTTGCCTGTTTAAAATAGAACTTTATCTTCAATTATGACACTGGCATCTTGGCCGAAGGGTTGTTTGGAATAAGTATATATATAAGTATATGACCTTTGGGTTTACCAATCAGTCCTAAGGAAAACAAATGATATGTGAGAAACTTGGATGGAGCAATAACAAGCACCTGTGAAAACAAGAATCTGTGTAAAATAAGCAGAGAGAAGTAAATTCTAAACCAGATGCACATACATAGAATAAGCATGGATATTCAGGTCTGTTTAGAGAACCTTTCATTTTTAAAGGCCTGTCTTCAACCCTGCCCATTTCAGATGATTGTAGAGAACTTCCCTCTTAAAGGCTTGTCTTCAGTTCCACCTTTTTGAAATTGTTTAAGATAATACAGTGTATGTAAATGTCCATCTAATATTGTTAATTCAAAAGAAATGTATATTGAATTATTAATGGTTTGTTTGAATCATTTAACAGTCTCATTTGACCAGTTCAGTGATTTTGATATGACCAGGAGCAAACAAAAGTTTAATCATTCCTTCTTAATTCAATAACTACATGTTACCTTGTTGAACATTTTGGTTTGTCTCAGAGGTACAGTCACTTTATAATCACAAAGGTATTTTTTGATTGACATTAAGTGTATAAGATCACTATACCAATAACCTCATTTTAAGCATGTAGAAGATTTCACTATGTTGCCTGTTAAAATGAAGTTATTAGTATTATCAGGCCTCCTAGACTTCCAACAATGCAACCATCAGTTCTGACCTCGCAAACTACATTTCTTGAGCTCGAATCACGATTCTTACATTGCCGAAATCCAAATAAAAACACTTTGTTGGATTTTAGTTGTGCGTAATAATACAAATAAAATTACATACTTTTTTCGACCACGTGTGTGGTTCGCAAGCACGGATCTCAGTTTGTGAGTGGAGAAATATGTTCTGGAAAGAGGAAATGGTGGTGCGTGACATAAGATTTCACGTTCGCGAAGTGAGAATCGTGGTTCGAGCGCAAAGAACGTAGTACGTGAGGTCAGAACTGATGTTCGCATTGATGGAAGTCTTGGAGGCCTGCTATTGAAATCTAAATACAAACTTGTTATTTGCCCTGGACCAGGACAGATAATGACCACTATGGCCGGTTACTGTCGCCTATTCAAGTCAATTATAGTAAAACACAAGTCTTCTAATCTAGTACTTAAACTTATTTTTCTAGTGCAACATTTTAGTATTTTGTAACTTTTTGGGCAACTTTTTATGATTTTGTAATTCTTTGTGCAACATTTTACATTTTTTTCAATGATTTCAATGTGGTGAGAGCACTGAATACCCTGAGAACAGACCTCGGAAGGTGGTGGTAATAATTATTAGTGATGTACTTTAGATGATGCACATCATACTAATTAATTATTGGGGAGATGTACTAAATGCACTTAATTGCAGAGCAGTGTGAAGTTTATTAATCAATGCATTGGTTCTAATTGTTATGCTCTATAGGATTTCATTTCATTATTAATAATCAATTTATATTACATGGCAATTTTTTATCAAGTGTGTTAAAGTTTCAGTTCAATAGTAATATGATGATTACGTTGGTAAACCTAGTAGGGTCCATTGAATAGAAATAGGTCATAATTACTCCAAAAAATCTCAGTAAATGTTTTATTTGAGGCCCAAATATAGGTGGATTTGAACATCTGGTGGCCCTACATTTTAAATCCCGAATCTACCACAACAGTATAACTTTTTATCTAGTCGTTAAAACATGTTATGATTGCTTAATAATAATATTTAGTCACATCTCTATAAACTGGATTAAAAATAGTTTCTTAAGTACCAAACTGTTTTTAAGTGGTTGGTTTGTAGTAACAGTATCTTACACAATTCTTTTCATCAATTATCCAATTAATTTATCATTCTCTATTTAATTTGATTGTTTAATTTCTTATTTCACCTGTATTAAGCAAAGTAGAATCTGTCATCCAGAGAAAATGGAAGCATGACGTGCACTAATATGTTCGCATCAATCCTCAGTATGACATTAACACATTGAATAAGGAAATTATTTATACACTTAAAAAATTGGAGCAATTTTAGATTTTTCATAAATGTTCATCTCATGCTAGAAACTACTGTTTTATTTCAACATCCCTATTGAAGTTAGTTAAGAAAGCAGCACAATGTCTTAAAACGGCATGATAGACTCGATCCAAAACATTACATCATACCAATCTTGATAATGAATTCATGGAATATTATAACATCATCTGTGATGTCAGTCACATATTGGCCCTCAAAAAAATAATGTAAACATCACAAGCACTGTTGATTCTAAATTCCTTTGAGTTTTCTCATGATTTCATTAACATTTTGCCAAACCAACAACAAACAAGCATGTAGCTTTGTGTTCATTGTCTTTTTCTGTGGTTATTTAATGAAATTAACATACAGTGGATCAGTTATCATAATACAATAAGAATCAATATATGTTTAAGACATCTTGGCAATGGGGAGTTTGCTGCATTTGCTATGCAGAATCTTTTTGCAAGCCAGTCTGACAAAATGTTTGATTTTGGCCTTTATTTTCGCTTTCGTTCATTACGTCACGACAGTTCTATCTTTGTTACCGTTCATTGTTCATATCTCTAAATATTATCAGAGTATTTTGAATTCATCGACAGGAAGGAAATATGATTTTCTTTAGCCTGTCGGTAATTTATTTAATACAGCTTGATTTGCATGTTATCTATTTATATTTATGAAATATTATATGAGTCATCTTCTTTAATCTCCATAATATGGAACCCAGGTTTAAACTGTTCTAGGATCTAATCTAACACATTGAGTAACCCCTTAAAAATAATTTTCAAAATAGTTTCTGAATGACTCTTGATATTTTGAAGGGTAAATTGTATCTAAGGACTTTGGAATAGCTTGACACCATCTGCAAATGTCATATAAATTATAAGTAAGAAGACATTTCTGCAGTGAAACTATTTTGCTAATGATGATTATAATGATGATTCACTCTAAGTTCCAACCAAAATTCATTAACACTTTATTGTAAAATCTCTTCTACTTGGTACCATATGTGATCATTAATTTAGGTTTAGAGGCAGAGGGTTAAAATAACCCCCCTGTGGTATGGTGTGATATAAAGATATCTGGTTGGTGGGTTTGGTGGTATAGGTTTCATTTATAGGAGGACGGATAGTGTGTTTCCTTATATTAAAATACTAACATTTTCATACTTTTCTAGATGCCATATCATGAAAAATAAAGACCACTAGAAAGGATGAATCCAATTTCCTTAATCCTTCTTTTAAGATTATATAGAAATACATGACAACTGCTCATTGAGTTTTGGTATTTTTAGAAATGAAGAGATATTCCATGCGTTAGATGAAATCTTTTAGATAGGGCCTCTAAATTGTCTTGCAGCTGTTTCCTCTGTTTATTCTGGATTACACCAACTTCATCTATCTTACTTTTTCATATTTGAGTACCTAAATGACACATTTTAGTGAAATATTGTGGGTTATTTAGGTTTGGGTATATCACCTTGTCTCCTAAACATATGCTAAGTATCATCTGAAGCATGTACAACATTTAGAACCTTGGTTGGTATGTTTTAAAACTAAAATGTTTTGGTATACAGGCATCTAATCATGCTAGGACAATGGTATGTCTGTAGGCAGAAATAGAGCAGATGTTATCATCAATGACTTTATTGGGTCAACATAACTTTACTTTTTAGTCCGCTTTGGGTCTTTGACAATGATAATTTGAGATGTCATTTTGGGATAGTAAAGTTCTGGAAGTGTTTCGTGGCTAAATGTTTCAATTGTTAGTTATGCGACTTTGAGCTAGAATTTGCAAATTTGATGTTTAACAAGAAACATACATATAACTCATTTCTATCAACAATTGACAAGATTACTGTATGATTCAAAATAGGTTGAATTCCACAGCTACAATTGTACATTGTACTTTTAATAAATCAGTTACAATGTTTTTGGAAGAGCCATTGTAATACACAGCACTCAATAGAAATTACACATAAGTCATGATTTAAGACAAAGGTGAGGGCTTTTATACAGCAATAACATAGGTAAGTAGAACTACAAATCATCAAACAGAAATTGGTTAATAAATCTGAGTACTTGAGATGATTGACATAAGGTGTGAGAACTCAAGATGGTAGCACTTCAATGGAGGCAGGTAACCAGTCACATTTTATCTGAAATCAGGTAGTCTCCAGTTGTATAGTCTCTATATACTCAATGAAATAGCTTTTTTCAGTAATTTGCAAGTACTTGAAGAACCTATGATAAGTAAATGAAGCTGTTAACCTAGATTCACATGCATGCCAAAAGGTCAAAATAATTTCTAGATATAATCATAATGATCAGTTGTGGTTTGGATGTTATTTATTAGGCACATAGACTGGTCAAATATTTTATGGCATAAATTCACGTGGCATTTAGCCATAGACTTATAAGTATACTGTATCCTGTACATGACACGGTTATACATGTACTGTACATGGAATTCAATGGATTTATCAACCCATCGGCATAAACCAGAAGAGGTAGATGCTACAACTACTTTAGAGAGATTGTCATTAATTGTAAGAAAAAGCAATATAATATTTTATGATTGGTTCTAAAATTGATCTGTGTATTTTTTTGGATTTATAAAATGTTGTATCTTTCAGTGTCACTGCTTTTCTTGACCAGAGGCTGTTTACTTTGGAAAATATGTTTTTAATTTTTATTGGAAATCCATAGTTACCTCTTTGGCTGTATTATATAGAAACCAAAGAGTGACTCATTTTTGTATAGGTATAGGGCTATAGGTTTGTTACAGGGGGAAGAAGCCATTTAGCTCTCTATCGATCCATCCATGGGACTGGATTGAAAGTAACCTCTGCAAAGTACAACATTAATATTATATACAGAATTATCAGCAATTGTAATTTGCTTTAAAATGTTCATACTCTAAATTATTACAAATGTTATTTAAACAGGCTTTCATTCATATTGTTAAAGTAAAAATTGAATATCCAATATTATCAAAAGAATTCTGAATGATGTTTACTTTCTTGAATAGTAAGATGTGTTTTTCCATAAATGTTTTTTAAGAACACAGTGTAGTGTCAAAACTGTTTTTCTAACCATTGATCATATGAAATCTGAATCTCAGCATGGAGTCTGTTCAATTAAAAAAATATTAGTTTGACAAAAATGTTTTCATTCCTTTGTAAAACTCCATAGTCCATAATATAATAGTACGTATTTGAGGCCATAATAGATGAAATTCTGTTATGTATGATTTAGATTTTGTGAAATGACACAAGAGAACTTTTCTATTTTAACCGCTTCTCTCTAAATAGATAAAATATTGTTGAAAATCTATTAAATTTCTACATGTTAATCCTGTGTAGACATATTTACAGAGTTCAAAATAGACGAGAGAAGAGTCTGAAATTTAATGTTATTACCTTAGCCTGAACAGCTGAGCGTGAAATAATGACTGACATATCATGCTTGATAATCAAAATTACACATGTACATAAATTTCAGGATTTAAACCCTTATAAGGAATTTTAATATATGTTTTACTGATATTCTTGAAGTAATCACAGACTCTAATAACTCAGAAACATAGATCATTTAACTTGCATCCAGAATTCTTAAGAAGCCCGGGACAGACACAGAATATCTGCACATTGATGGCATCAAAATTGGTCTTACCTTGTGAATTATTTTTGCAGGGGATTTAATTACATTTAACCTGATTTCTGTTTCTATGATGATACTTTTTGATTTCAGGCTAATGTAGAGTGAGTGATGGCCATGAGCTCTAATAGTGCTGGGGAGATGGGTTTACCCCCCGCCCCTGCCACCCCTTCAACAAATGCCTTTCAGGCCCTTGCTATGAAAGCCGGTTCAAAACCCCAGGATGAACCACCATCTTTCAAGGTACGTGATGATGACTTATGCAAATAAGTGAATTTATATTAACTGGTAGACACATTTTTGAATACTAATTTTGCTTAATCATTTTCTGTAAGAATTTATTATTCATTTTATATAGATTATTGTGTTTTGTAATCTACCAGTTTTTGTTGTCCTGTATATTTGCTATGTGGCAACTTGTTAAAATCAGTTTGAAAATTAACAGTGTTTTTTTATTTTCATTTGTTATAAAGAGCAGTATAAATCTAGACATACTGTACATGTATACATTTATCTATAGGTAATCTGAATGAAGAATAGTCAATTTATTAAATTGTAGTATTTGCATGCTGTGTTCAACATTTTGTTAAGTTTTACAAGACATCTGTGCTAGTAAACTAGCACTAGTCCAGATTAATCTAAAATAATCACCACTAATCTGATAATTCTTGATAAAGCTCAAGTTTGTCTTCAAGTGTTACTCTTTAACATAGGACCTGTTTGTGTAGATATCAGAATTTTAGGTCAGGTTCAACACAGATCAGTAAGATTTGTAACTTTATAGTTATATAAATCTCTTAGATGATGGATAAAGAAATCGAGATATAAGATACAAGGTTGCCTTGATTCTGAATTGTCAAGCCTGGAAAGCTATTTGCCCTCTGTTTAGAATCCTGAAAAGTAAATACAAATACAAACATACATGTACATGTATATATATTCATGTATATATTATATCTTGAGACTGTTGTGTGTATAATGTAAACAGCAATAGCCTTTTATCTTAGTATTTTATATTTGTTTCATATACGAGAACTGTTGAGAGAATCACACCTGAGCAAGTTTCTCACATGTGCATACATATCAAATGAATTAGGTCTTCAGTTTTGGCCAAACAACTGTGAATGCTTATCCTTAAGTACATCCAATTAGCAAACAATAACATAATTATCACTCCAATTAACTGGGATTGAATAGCTATATACAAATCAATTATTTACACTTTTAAAGTACTAAGAGCTTCCACCAACTACCAAATATCTTAATTCAGTCATATCAGATCCCCAAAAGTGTACTAAGGAACCTTAGCATTGAGGGATCCACAGACTGTGTTATACCTTGGAATACACAGCTCTAGATACATAAGAGAGACTGATAAATCAGAATGGAACTTAAGATATACCCTTTATTTTCAGTGATGAAAATACTCTTCTCATTCGTTTGATTTAGATTCTTAAAAGTAATAGCTGCTGCTTTGTATTTCTTTTAACTAACCTCCAAGGGTACATCAGGGTATGATGAACATAAAGTTAAACAGCATGTTGCCATGTTACTTTTAAAGTAATTTTTCCAGACCTTTTCACTCTCTGAGTAATAGAACACAGTAGAGTTCTCTTGTATCAAGTTGCATTTTTATTCATTTTGATTTTGTTTTGGTGTATTAAGGCAAAAACTTGCAAAATAGCTGTACATAATTGCCAAAAGTTGTTCAAATTCCTATAACAGTGAAGTTATCTGCTGACAATTATTGGGAGGGAGCATTGATTCAAGACTACTCAATTTGTTCTATCAGTATTTCTCATTCAATCATAAAACACCTTTGCTGAATCAGGATGCTGGCCATATTGATGGAAGAAAATCTTTTTTTAACCCTGTTTACATTGCTAATTTATGTATCCGAACCCATTTTTGCCATTCTATATATAACTGTAAAGCAATAATAATTAATGCAGCGTTATTGATAAAATTCAAGACAATAAAATATACATGTGTTTTACCTATGATCGTGTCTATATAAGATGCATTACAGCATCAATATTAATGATCCAACTTGATGTAATATCTAGTTGGTATAGGATTTTTCTTGACAAGATTTGTATCTACTCATTACAATCAATATCGACTCATACATTTTCTTTGCTCACCTATGCTGAATTGACTTAAAAAATGAATTGGCAGGCAGGGTTCCCCACCTTTCTTTCAAAATGGGGAAAACATTGATCAAAGCTTGTGTGAGATGCTTCTATTAAAATTGGAATCCCCATGTAAAATAACGTGAATAGTGGACTTGTTCAGAGTTATGGTATCACATCTCAGTATTGCTTTTGGAGAACTCTATATGGATAGATTTTATACCAGTCCCAGTTTAGTTCATCCTTTGCATATGTAGGGAAAAGATGAAATATGTCAACTAACCTTAACCTTACAAAGCGTATTCAAGTGGCCACTGCTCATGATTTTAAGGAAATTTGATTTGAAGAAATGTGTTCATATTGCGAGGAAATTGGTTCATAAGTTGTTTCTTTATGGAGCTATTCATATATATGTATAAAATTACCACAGCACCATTTTTCAGTTATTACCATATAAAGCATCATTATCCCAACGAACGAAGTTCGTTAGGGATATAGTGAAGCCCTCCGTCCCTCCGTCCGTCCGTCCGTCTGTCCGTCAGTCCGTCAGTCCGTCAGTCAGTCAGTTCGTCCGTCTGTCCGGAAGAAAACTCAAATACTAGTTGACAGATTTTCTTCATATTTAGTGGAAAGATGTATATTGGTGAATAGTTTTATGCAAAAAAAAAATTTTTCAAGATGGCCGCCGCTTTAAAAATGACGGGACTTTTTCGCAAAAATCATAAATTTTTCATTCTGAACCAAAGTAATTAATATTATTGTTTGAAATTTTGGTAGTGTATTCACAACATTTATCTATTTCACATATATTCCGTGTTTTTCATCCTGACCCCCAGGGGCCATGTATGGGGGGACAGGAAAACAGAAATTTTCGCTAATTTTTAGATCTTTCTGAAGTATAGCTTTATTATACTCAAATGAAAGGCAATTAAGAGTAGATTGCAAATATTGTATCTTTTTTCTGATTCGAGCCTCGTAAAATTCAAAATGGCCGTCTAATGTACGATTTCGCAATAATTTTTCGATCCCTTCAAAGTATGGCTATAGTGTACTCAAATTGAAGGAATTTTGGAGTAGATCACAATTATGGTATTATTTTTCAGATTTGTACCTCAGAAAATTCAAAATGGCTGCTTTGCAGGAATTCGCAATTCTAAAATCTAATTTTTTCATTTTCAACCAAAGTAATGAGTATAATTGATTGGAATTCGGTAATTGATATTTTGTTCGTTGGGATTTGCTACTCCGCGGAGTTGCCATTATCTAGTGTTATAATTGCTCATCATAAGATTTTTACCATGTAATCCATATTAAAATATCTACAATTATTTCAATGTGGTATTGATTTGCATAAATGAACCTTTTACCATTGTATCCGAAGAGCATGTGTTCAAGTTTTGATCAGACAATAAAATGATAAAAATGAGATAGAATCTCTTTTGTTATATTTGAGATGCTGGATTAACCCTGTTTTACAAAGAACACACATTTGTTTAAATAAATATCCCCATCAATTGAACTCTAGTTAAAAAGAAAATGTTATTAATTCAAGCAATCTAATTTTCATGATTGAATAAACGTTTTAATATGCTCATAGATCTACATTGTAAAATTGTTTCGCAATTATAAGTAAAGCACTTCTTTGACATGTGAAAGCTAAAATCAATTAAAACAATAATTGTTATGTCCTGGGGTTAATTTCAGGTTCATGTTTATTGGCTTAAAATCTACCTCCGTAATAAGAGTCTTTAGAAATAGATCAGTGAATTCCTTATCCTTTGGATTATATCGGTTTCAGATATTTTCCGTGCCAGAGGCTAAAGGAGTCGTGACACTTATATATCATGGGCAGGGCAGGAAGATTTTGCAAGAAGTATTTGAGTCCAGCAATCTCTCATGGCAATCTTTCCAGATTGTTAAATTATATGGTGAAAGTCTTGCATTGAGTCCTTGTCATGTCTATTATATTTCTAGCCTCTGTAATCAAATTTGGAAGAAATAGAACCATGTTGCAAAACTATATAGAAAAGTAACCACTTTCAAAATTAGTATAATTATAAAGTCCATGTACATTGTACATGACTTTTATTGTTTGATAACTATTATTTATACATAATGTTGAATGATTATACCATGATTTAATATAATATAGGAATATTCTAACTTTGTTGATGTATATGCCATTTGGTTAACAGAACTGTGTGTAGTCAGTAAGTAGTTTTTACATCCTGTGATTTTGGCTGTATCTCAACGGCTCTAGTAGTAAAAGTCTACTTTATGAAGTGCAATGGCCCTGGGAAAGTGTTTTAGATTAGGGAACATGTTTCTAGCGGAGCTACTACATTAGGCTACCTGTGGTTATCAGACTTTGGATGATCGCATTTCCTGGCAGGTTTGCCTAAAAGATATGTTCCTCCTGTTGAAGACTATTAATAGCTCTCTAACACCCTAGTACAGTGAGTATGCCAAGCCACACAGAATCAAACATTGTTTTTAGATGGAATTCGAACATCTTAGCAAAATGTGAAATGTCCCAGCCATAGATTTGACATGGGATATTGTGTGAAGTCCTTGGTAAGGGGTGTGGTTTAAGCACTAAGTACTCTTCAGAGACGCCACTGTGACATGTTGGAGAATGGATCAACCTAGAAAATATTTTATTGGGATTCAGAAAACTGCCTATCACTGGTGCCAAGCTACTTCAATATGGTCAATGTGGCATTTGAAAGTAACACAAAGAAATGTTTAGTTGGTTCTTTATTTTGGTCATAAAAATGAAATAGTACTGCTGCTCCAGGCTTATGGCTTATTTTTGCAGTGATATCATATGGTAAGGCCAAGATAGTCACTGGAATGGTAGAAGGTTATAGCTTTAACCCCTCAACCTTTCTATACTAGGTTCACGTGGGTCCTTGACAAATGGTTAAGTTTACTTTACATAGAACAATAACTGTCAGGCCACAGCTACAAATATGGTTTAGAAACTATTTAATAAGCCATTGAATGTGCATGCTCTTTCTCAATGAAAACATTCTCCTTCTAGAGAACTTAATTTTCTATTATTTGCTTGAATAAGTATGCAGATATGCAGGAGAGATAGGATAAAAATATTAAAGCAAACATAAAGTATTCATTCATAAGCCCTGATATTTATGTGTGTATAATGCCAACATGTCTAGAATACACCTCCAGTCATGTTAAAGTGGCTCCTTGTAAATCTCTTAAATGTGAGTCAATTACCTTTAGTCTCAGTGGATTTCTCTGTTTAAAAAATCTTAATTAAAATCGATAAAAACAAATAGTTCTTCCGCAAGATAATTTTTGAATAATCAATTTTTTGTTAAATTTAACATCCATATTTAATACAACAGACAATGTACAGCCTATGGTTAGTACTCAATTAATTAATTCTTCTTAGTTTTTGGTATCAAAAAATCGCTTATCCCTTATATTGTTTTAATACACTCAACTATTGATAAGTAAGAACAATATGACATGGAAAGGACTTCAGTGTCAAACTAGTTTCAGTATGGGCAATGTGGTTGTTCTCATTACATGTATACTGTAATATGATAAATGATTCTAAATTCAATTTTAGTTGGTTGAAATCTCTATGGTATGCCATGTACATTTTACATTCAGATTCCTTAACAATTTTAATCTGTAGTATATTTCTAAGCTGATTTGAGCACATATTATAATGTACATTCTAAAAGTGTTTATCTGTGGTTTCAGAGTATGGACTACAGAGAGCAGCCCAGTCCCCATAAGAGTGTATCTGCCGTCCAGTCCTATCATGAAAGCATGGCCTCCCCCACAACTGGGGGAGCATTTGGCTATGATGATGACCGAGTACAAAATGACCTCCTTGAGGAAATATGCTCAGACTTTGGTGTTAAGGATAGTATGGATCTGGACTTCTATGATTTCGAAGAGATTGAGAACGGATCTCAGTCGAGTAATGGTTCTAAGAGTGCTGCGTCATCTCAAATGGGATTCAGTGGTTCTAATGCGGGTAGCTATAACAGTAATATAGGATTTAATAATCAATGTGCTGTTCCTCAGCAATATAACAATGCAGGGTTTGGTTGGCAGCAGCAACAGCAGCAGGCGAATGGAATGTTTCCTCAGAACAATAGCCAGATGGCTGCTAATAGACAACAAGCCCCCAATACTGTCCATTATAAGCCCCCATACCAACAGCAGCAACAGCCACAACATCAAGGAGTGTTTGCTGTACCTCAGGCACCTGCTGCTATTGCTAGATCTAATTCCATGCCCAGTCATGACATGCAACATGGGGATGGTTTCAACCACCCTGCCCTTAGAGTAAATAGGACTAACTCAGCAGGGGCACCACTGAACAGAGAGTCCCCACATGCCTTCAGGGCTGTTAATCCCCAGTACCCACATACTCAGGGTATGATTCACCCCAGGCCCCAACATCCTAATATGAGACCTGATGCTCCCATGACTCCACGTAGCTTGGTATCACCCTCAGACCCAGGCTACTCCTCCTGTGATCTGGCAAGTGTTAGTAGCCATAGTACAGCAGCTACAGTCTTCTCAAGTCAATATGGCAGCACTGATAGCCTTAACGTAATGTCCCAGCACCATCAGCAAGGCCAACAACAGGCCGGTGCATTTAACACTGATAATGCAACCACTCCCCTGCAGATCAAAACTGGCTACCAGCCTGCTGCTTCCTCCCCACAGTGCAAAAACATTGATGCCAATCAGAATCAATCTGATCTGATCTCATCGAACATTAATGATATTCGGATGTCTCAAGCACAGGGCCAAAATACAGTGGTGAAATCTGAGGTGTGCTCAGAAATGAACTCTCCGTCTGGCCAGTCTCACATGTCAGCTGCTAGCTCTGTGCAGCCAGTGCCCCCACCTTATAATGTGGACCAAAAGGTGCCTTATAGTCAGTACCAGCAGCAAGGCAATGTAGATGTGAGCCAAATGCAGCAACAGCAGCAGCAGCAGCAGCATGATCACTTCAATCAGAAACCTTTACAGCACGAAGGATATTTTCAGAATCAACAAACACCAAAGGATAACATGAGAGGCCTCACTAGTCCTGCCCTACAACAAATGCAGAACTTTGTATCTGGTCTTAGCAAACCTGGTACCCCTACTTCAACAGGCCCTGATCAGACCATGATGCCTCCACCATCATCGGCCCCACAGAGTCCTTTCAGCCAAGCACAAGCCAGCCAAAAGTACTCACAAAAAATGATGCCCAAGCACATGCAGTCTTCCAGGCCTGAGGTAGGGCCATATAGTGTAATGAGCCCTAGAAGTCCAAGCACTAACATCAAGGAAGGAAATGGCAAACTTAACCATCCATCCTCACCATATAGTGGGATACCTAAATCTGAACCAATGACCCCAGGTACCCCTCCATCTTGTACAACAGAGAGTGGTCAGTCACAGACTATGCATTATATGCCATCCAATGAAGGAACCGCCCCTCTGGAACCACCGCCCAATTACCCAGACCAACCTACAGGTGATGCTTTCATGCCAACTAATAATTTTGACAATCAGGCTAGCTCTATGCAGTCACCTAGTATACAAAACATGCAGACCCAAGCTGGGGCAATGGGCCATAATCAGTACTTAGGACAAGGACAATATAATAATCCCATGACACAGGGCTCGTATCCCCAACAGCAATATACCCAGTCTGGGCCCCATGGTGGTCAGTTTGGAGGTGGCTCTATGCAAGGAATGTTCCCACAGGGCCAGGAGAGTCACCAATTCAACCAGCAACAGCAAGCTCAGGGTATGCCTCAAACACCAACCATGCAGCAACCAGGAGGATTCAACCAGGCCAGCCAACAACAGCATTTCCATGCTCCACAGGGCTTTAGGCCAATACAGAATGAGCACATGGCAAGTCCAGGGAGACATGGGATGCCTGATGGTCTACATATGAACTCACCCTCTGGCAACCCAGGGGCACAGTATGGCATGCCAGGACCCTCACAAGGGCCCTCTCCAGTTCTAGGCCCCAGCCCAACCAATAGACCAGCAATCATATCATCCCAACAAGGTAAGATATGTTTAACAAACCCTTAAAGGAAAGCTATGTACCTGGTACCCTTAAAAAAGATTTAATCAATGGTGTTAAATGTCCCCTTGGAAGAAATTAAATCAGCATTGAACGTTTAACCTTTTAAAGAAAACTTTGCTCAACATTAAACATTCTTCTAATGAATCTCTAGACATGTGCTCTATCAAGATCTACATTGGTCACTTCAACCTGTAGATAGATAGTGAAACTTTACCTGTTATAAATTAGTTCAAATAATTCGTAATAAAAAGGTGATGATCATTGTAGATTTAAGCACTATTACTAATGATTTTCTTTTTTGGTTATTGTCTATAACTCCTGGATTTAATCATAATTATAATCATTCTAAACTGGAAACTTGGAAAGCATAAATCGTGAAACATGTCTTATTAGTTATTCCCGTGCTACTAATCCATCTAGTGCAGTCAGAATGTGGGTTTCGGCGTGCGTTCAGAGGGATTTTATGGGACATAATTTTTCATGTTACTACTATGATTATACATATTTGTATGGATTATTAGATCTTAGTTTTTCAGCTTTTAGATTTTGTGGCCATTTTACCCCCCATGGGCTAAAATTTGGACCCCTACTATATAATTGGGCAAGAACTCAAAAAATACTCAGTGGAATGTTTCCAAATTACTAAGTTATATTGGTGTAGGCTAATTGAATATATGATAAAAATTTCATGTCACATGGTTTACTGGTTGCCATGGAAATGGATAAAACATGCCCTTCGGGTGTCAATTTTCAGGCCAATTTTTCAGGACTGACAGAGTCATTTCATGCATATTTTGTCACCAATGTGTTAGGAAGGGTTAAAATGTCAATAGAAAACTTCTATAATATATAAGCAACAATTGTACTTAAAGATCAGTCCACAAAACCTCAGATTTTGGCCTTGTATTGGTCCATGACTTATACAGGGGTCTATTTCATAGACTCGAGCTCCCACATTGGATAGATGCTATAACTTTTGAAATAATGGAGATACAGGTCTCATTTTTTCAGATCTTCATAAATGGTTAGTTTTAAGTATTTTATTTTACTTTGGGAGCTGACATGTGATTGGTTGCTATGGTAACCAGGGTTTTAAGGAAATTCCGACCCCCACATTGGATGGATGCTATAACTTTTGAAATAAGGGAGATACAGGTCTTATTTCTTCAGATCTTCATAAATGGTTGGTTTTAAGTGTTTTAATATACATTTGGAGCTGGTATATGATTGATTGCCATGGTAACCAGGGTTTTAAGGAAATCCTGACCCCGACATTGGATGGATGTTATAACTTTTGAAATAAGGGAGATTCATGTCTCATTTTTTCAGATTTTTGACAATGATTGATTTAAAGTACTGATTTAGACTTTGGGAGCTGAAATTTGATTGGTTACCATGGAAATCAGGGTTTGTTGAAATTCAGACCTCCACAATTGATGAACACTATAACTCTTAAATACAGCCAGATAAGATAATCTTTTCAGATGTAAGATAATAATAATATGTGCGTATTGTATTAGACTTTGGAAGCTAGGATTTATTTGTCTGCCATGGTAACCATGTTTCATTGTCATGGTAACTGCTGTTTTCGTTTTCAGATTCACCTTTATTCTAGATAGGTCATTACATGACATAAAATACCAAATTGCTCAAAGTTACCATTTTATTCTTAATTTTTTTTTTTCTATTTTATATGATTTACATGCTCATGACTCAATAATACTAGAGATGCAAACATTGTTTGGCTCATAAAATATCAAATACTAGTAAACAATACATGTATGTCTGACAATATTGCCTTATTCCATACGACTAGTTCTTACAAAAGTTCTGACTCCTAATTTGTTCATTTGAGCTCATCATTACTGTTTTCATTTAGCACAATTTCCTCTTAACATCAATTTCTGTTGGAATGAAGGATTGTTTTGACCATTCTGGAGATAAGGATCCTCAGGAGATATAGTCCATTCATGCAGTATTGGACTTGGCAGAATGGGTTAAGACTGGTCCCTGTGGTTTCACTGTATATAAAATTGGCTGGGGTCCAAGGCTGAACCCTCAGATATCAATATGTTCCCATCCAATCTGTCAAATTTGAATGTGTTCTGATATCAACCAAAATAATGCCCAAAAGCCATACCAAATGCCCAAATATATGACCAGTGCCATACCAAATATCCAGATATGAAAACATGGCCATTCAAAATTTCTAATGCCTCGAGAAGAAGGCAGATCATTGAGGAAAACAACCACAAACAACCTCACATTAAGGATATACTAGATCAATGCCATACATGTGCAACAAGTGAGGGGCAACATATTTTTCACAACCATTCCCAAATCCGACCATTGCCATACCTCTCAAGTCATAATTTGGAGAGCATTCTCATACCAGATCCTAAAATTTGGGTCCATTGCCATATCAAATGTCAAAAGTACCCCACCTGAGCTGAGGATCCCCTTGAGGTTTATATACAGTGAACTCCTGGGAGACGGAGGGTAATGTTTCCACTTCCAAATATAAGTTTTATCATCCATCCTCTTCAAATGTTATAATGAGCAATCACTACAAGGTGGAAGTTCCATAAGTGAGGGCAGCACTGTTCTGTTTTGGAGAATATCTTATGTGAAACAGCTCATATTGTTATCTATTGATGTAAGTTACAAATACATTTTTGTTATTCTGCTGTACTTTTACTGGTGAACAATTCAACTTTGGATTTTATTGTGTCAGGAATTTCTATATTGATTCCTATTATGAAGAAAATAACCTTAAGAACCTCAACTGATGTGATCTCTGTCCCATTAGATGTCAGAAGCTCAACCCAACCCCTGTAGCTGCAAACCTAGGACCAAGTCCTGTGTGAAGCTATACTAGCCTTCAATGCGTTTACTGGATCAGATTCCTCCAGTGCAGAAATACAACAAAACAGCAGAAATAGAAAAATAACTGCCACTAATAGATTACGAGATGAGCTGTTTCCCATGAGATACAGAAAAAAACAGAACAGTGCTGCCCTCACTTATGAAGGTGTTGACATTTTCTTTCACATTTGAAGAGGGTAAATTATCAAACCTATGTATGGACACATTCCCACCAGCCTAAACCCAGCTCTACCATTATGCCCAACACTGCATGAATGAACTGTGAATTCCCTGACGAATCTTTAACACAAGAATGGTCAAAAGAATCCTTCTTTCCAATAGAAATTGTTGATATTTTTAATTAAGAGGCAATTGTGGAAGATGAAAACGATAATGATGAGTAAAAACAAGTTGGGAATCTGAATATGTGTGAGAACTAGTAGAATGGAATGAGGCTATACTGTCAGACATACAGGATAAATTGCTGAAATAAAGAGCAAAATGATAATTTTGAGCATTTTGGTATAACATGTTGTGAATTGACCATTCTTAAATGAAGGTAAGACTGAAATAAAAAATTAGGGGTACCATGACAACGAAACATGGTTACCATGGCAATCAAGTAAATGCTAAGCTACAAAGTCTAATTCAATACACAAATCTAATTAATTTTTAAGATCTGAAATGATGATATCTGTATCTGCTGGAATTCAAACATTAAAGCATTTATCAATTGAGGAGGTCCAAATTTCAATAAAACTCTAGTTACCATGGTAACCAATCAAATTTCAGCCCCCAAAGTCTAATTTAATATTTATAATCAATCATTGTCTAAGATCTGAAATAATGAGACATGTATCTCCCTTATTTCAAAAGTTATAGCATCCATCCAATGTGGGGGTAGGAATTTCCCTAAAACCCTGGTTACCATGGCAACCAATCACATGTCAGCTCCCAAAGTAAAATAGAATACTTAAAACTAACCATTTATGAAGATCTGAAAAAATGAGACCTGTATCTCCATTATTTCAAAAGTTATAGCATCTATCCAATGTGGGAGCTCGAGTCTATGAAATAGACCCCTGTATAAGTCATGGACCAATACAAGGCCAAAATCTGAGGTTTTGTGGACTGATCTTTACATACAATTGTTGCTTATATATTATAGAAGTTTTCTATTGACATTTTAACCCTTCCTAACACATTGGTGACAAAATATGCATGAAATGACTCTGTCAGTCCTGAAAAATTGGCCTGAAAATTGACACCCGAAGGGCATGTTTTATCCATTTCCATGGCAACCAGTTAACCATGTGACATGAAATTTTTATCATATATTCAATTAGCCTATACCAATATAACCTAGTAATTTGGAAACATTCCACTGAGTATTTTTTGAGTTCTTGCCCAATTATATAGTAGGGGTCCAAATTTTAGCCCATGGGGGGTAAAATGGCCACAAAATCTAAAAGCTGAAAAACTAAGATCTAATAATCCATACAAATATGTATAATCATAGTAGTAACATGAAAAATTATGTCCCATAAAATCCCTCTGAACGCACGCCGAAACCCACATTCTGACTGCACTAATCTGAATAATTACATTTTTATATGTGATTAAGTTCTGAATGGTTTTTACATGGTTATTGCTTATGAACATGTTGAAGTTGAAATTAACAACTTTCAGTTGATGGATAGCATGTATAGTGAGTGAGATAATGACTCATTCAGGATCTCATAGAGTACTCCCTCCTTCAGTGGATCATACTTGAGTTTGTATACCTTTTCCTGGAGGGATCAATTTATCTCACCCTCTTGTCCTTTGTCAGTCAGAGGTGGTCATTGGTCAGTCTTGCAAATGGTATATGGGGAGAGCTTGTGGAACTGTTAAGATAGGGAGGCTTTTGTTGTGGCTTACATAAGTCTTGCATCAAGAACCAGGATGTACATTCCCCATTCTCTCATATCAAATGGCCAGAGACATGTTCATATAGAAAATAGGGAATATTTCTCTGGTGATTTGATTGGTGAGTTTAATAACTTGGAATTGGAATTTCAATGCTTAACTCTACAGGAAAGTGGTTTAAATCAATGAAAATGAAGAAAATTCAATATCCTGAATCCTGATACTGTTCAGAGATATATAGTTTGGCAGTATATTTATTTCTTGTTCCATGGTGTTTTTGAAAGTACACGGTGGCTTTAAAAATTGTTATGTGCATTTTTCTTCATATGTAATATTGTTGAAATTTAATGTGGTTCATTTTTGTTTTGTTGTTCTGGTGAAAAGTGGAGAGAGTATGTGAAAATACATTAACCCGTCCTTCAGAGAAGAGTTTGATTATAACATTGCGTGTCTCAATACTTGGGATATAAAAAATAATAACACAAAGTATAACATAATTACTTTTACTAATTATCAAAAGAACATTGAATCCTTTTATTGAATCTATATTGATTATGGAATCGTGTTTTATCTGACAAAAAGGCAGATGCTCCGAATATAACCAAATGACTGAACATATGAATGCATAGATAGATGAATATGAACATTGTGGAGTAATAAGGGACACTTGTACAAAATTGGTCCAATTTGCTCAAATTCAATACGAGCAATAAACGATGATAACATTTCATGATCACTCTTTTGGTCCTAGACAAACTGTTTTCTGTTAGAGACTAATGTTGGAGTATTGATGTATGCTGTAATTGTTTCAGTATTGAATAGAGAAAATCATTTGATTGTGTCGTTAATGAGGGGGTATTGAATACACCGTTGCTAATTTCATCTTTGGGACACTTCAAATGTGGGACTGCATCTGTGCTTTATTAACTAACTCTGGATAGATCCTACCTAATATAACTTAAGTATATTAGGCTAGAGGAAAAAATAACGATGTTTTGTTTATCATCTCTCATATTTTTTTTTAAATTACTGTATTATGTAAAAAATATATGCACCATTACATTACTTGATTCTAACATATTTTATCTTTTTGATATTAATATGTGTTAGTTATCATATCATTTTGAGGATATGAGAAAAGTAAAGATTCATTTTTTCTTTCTGCAAAATGAAAATAATCCTAAAAATAGATTTTAATTACTCTGGCCTTATTGCACTTTCCATTCTATTCATATCTATTGGTTATTCCATCTGTCAATGTATAATGTCACCTTAGTCCTGAATTGTTGCAGTAATACAACCTGAAAAATAAGTTGTATACCAAAACTCTTGAGATGAGAAATTGAGCTTTGGCATTTGGGATGATTTGAAGGCAACCTACAACAATCTATTGAAAATTATTGATGCATTCAAGGCTGATTTAAACTTTTTTTAATATCATAATATTAGTGTCAGTCAATATTCATTGGGATGCTTTATTTATGAATAATTCCAAAGATGTGATTGTATTGGAAGAATATTCTGAACTGAGTGAACTGTGTAGACTTATTGTAATTATGGATTTTTACGCAACATTTCGCAATGATACCTTATATGTTATTCAGTACATTCCAGGTAATAATTAATAAGGTTGTTTAACTTTGAAAAGTAAGGCTCATAATTATTCACCATTGAGAATATCTTTCTAAATCATTATATCTGTGTACTAACTATTACCAGAATTCAAAGATACATTGGTGAAATGCAGCTTAAGATGCTATCCAAATCATGAAAATGTTATTTCTTTGTTTAATCTCTTTTCAATGGTAGGACTTTATTTATGATCTACAAATTTATGATTTACAAATTCAATTTGTGATGAGTAAAGTATAAGGGGACAATTTACCATTCGTGATAATAATAAATTTTACATATAATATAGGTATTTTCAAGGCTCCTCAAGGTTAACTCCAATGTTACTAATATATTAAGAGAAAGCCTATTCTATTTTCAATCATATTGTGTTTTATTGATTTGGAAAAAACCCATGTATTATGTATAGCTAATTTCTAGCAGTGAATGGCGAGAGTAGTGATGAGTTGAATCTACCTTATGTTTATACAATCTTGAAATAATTCTATCATTGATTGTAGTAGGCTTGTAATCGAAAAAACCAAGTGCTACTTGTTTGAAATATGGTAGAAACCTTTCTAGAAGGAATTTACTATGCCAATAAAGCTTTGTAAGCCAAATATTGACCAGCTATTTTGTTTGCTTACAGACCTCTATGTAAAGAACTCGCAAAATGCCATATAGTGTACCATATCAATTTTCTGATAATGTTACATTAATATTATCATTTTTATCCAGACAATCGACCAGAGAGTTAAATGCTCACTCAATAGCCCTAAACAAATATTTTGATGTACACCCAGTTGATTTAGAAGAGTTAAGTCTTGTTTGTACAGATGCTTGAGTTCAGAATATTGCAGAAAATATCCTGCATTTTTGTATCATTTGAAGATACCTTATATAAATCATTATGTATGTTAATGAGTGAACAATACATATTTCATAATTGAACATGTTTGTTTATAACATGAATCTAGTACTTCAAGTTTGTGTTGCGAAATACTTTCTATCTATAAAATGAAAGCCCTAAGTAACTTTTAACACATTCTTCACTGAATATTTATTTTTTTATTTTTTCAGTTTTCATGGAGCGCCTGGTGACAGATAAATCCAGTGCATTCAGATCTCATCCCTTCTTCCCTCTATTACGAGACTTGGTGATTGCCGATATGAACTTCCACACTCCCACGTTCCCCTTCCAACTGATAGCCAACCTTCCGCGGGACTTTGACAAGCTCCTGCAGAATTATTTACAGAGAAACCCCCCTCAGGGCAAATATGAGCATAACCAGGCCACCGAGAATGTTGTCATGGATGCGCTGAAGTTGGCCCATCAATCTCTTATTGGTAAGTATTATGGGACAGTAGAGCAAGGGCAGTCAATGTAGCTAACTGATTCACTGAAATTGGTAACTATGACTGCTTTGGAGTCACAATTCATCCTCATGTTGTTTTTCATTTTGCTTAATTTTCAGATATTAAATTATTCTGGGTGACATATGTAATGAAATATGATATTTTAAAAAGGCCAACATAAACCAACTTAACCTTATGTTTGTGACAATGTGATTTATCATAAATGTAATTATGTGATCATTAATCCAAGTATGTATAGTGTGTCTGTCAATCAGAGTACATATGTGATACAAACCAGATAATGCATTTCATATGTGTTCATGTGTAAGATGGGGAACATCAGGTGGGGGGGGGGGCTCACAAGACGATCCAAGACCTAGAATTTAAAATATATTTAAAGACAGAATCATTCATCATTAAAATTAATGACAATGTTATCTTATCTCTACTCATTTTGTTTAAAATGTGTGTAATGAGTTTATTGATTTTTTAATTTGGCTAAATTGAACATCACAATTTGTCCAAATTTGGCAAAAACTAAAAATACGTTTTTGGTTTCAAATCCATTTTCGAGCCTGGAACTCAAGAGGTTGAACTTTTATTTTATTGCCAGATAATTACATGTTTTGTTTTTTATTTCAGACAAGATCCAGGGTAAAAAGGTTCAAGAGCAACTAAGACACCAAAGACCGAATAATGTCGTCGAAGACTTTTGCGATAAATTCGACCAATCTGTTAGAAAAACTGTGTCTCAGGTTGGTACAAAGATTGTTGAATAAACTCTAGTGGATATAAACAATTGAATTTTATGTTTTCTCAATTGTAATGTACTTCTGGTATACTCTAAAAAAGGGTGCTCTTTTTACTATAAGCAATAAATAAATGATATCAGATCAATTTATTAAGGCTAAAATACTCCAAAATATAATAAACGAGTGGTTAATACTCCAACTAAAATTATGTTGATTTATTTTTGATGTTAGTGGTTGACCTAAGGTCACATAATGAATATATTTGATTGACTTTATACTAAATTACAATCAATAACAAAAACAAGGCATGGAGTGCCTTCTACCATATATTAACTTGTACATAGTTCATTTACATTGCAAGTGTCTGCTTGCCGGTTATTGAGCTTTATATTTTAAAAAGAAAACTGGTGAAGTAGTCAACTTTGTATTGGCAATTCACTGGTACTGTTCTGCTTACATCAGAATGGGTTCTTCTGAATGGTGGCAAAGTGGTTAGATATTTTGCCTCAATCAATTCGTGTCATAATTAACTGCTCTGTTCAAAAAGGCTCAACTCAATAGAAGTTTACTAGTTATGCATACATTGTCAATGCCATGACGACTAAATACCAGTTTTTATTGGTCCAAAATACAGAGTATGGTGTGAGTCATGTGTGAATGAATTGAAGCGTCATGTGTGAATGAATTGAAGCTAATTTTTCTTATTCATGATATTTAGGTTGGTACACCGAATGAAAGTCTATCAGCGAGTCGTGAAAGCCTCATATCTTCTGTATCTCAGGCTGATACAATTAAAAAAGTGGTGTTCAATGTACCAGGAGGTGAAGATCTGAATGACTCGAGTAGTGTTCGCAGTGGAAGCAGTTCCCATACCCACAATGGACAGACAGAGCCTACCACTACAAAGAAACCAACCCTTCCCAAAGAGGTAAGACTAAATGAAAAAATGACTTGAATTGAAATAAGTGACAACTGATTATATGCCAGTTCATCATTGACACAGCCCAGGACAGTAAAGCATGACATAACCTTTGTAAATGATTATATGCCAGTTCATCTTTGACACAGCCCAGGGCAGTAAAGCATGACCTAACCTTTGTAAATGATTATATGCCAGTTCATCTTTGACACAGCCCAGGGCAGTAAAGCATGACCTAACCTTTGTAAATGATTATATGCCAGTTCATCTTTGACACAGCCCAGGGCAGTAAAGCATGACCTAACCTTTGTAAATGATTATATGCCAGTTCATCTTTGACACAGCCCAGGGCAGTAAAGCATGACCTAACCTTTGTAAATAATTATATGCCAGTTCATCCTTGACCCAGCCCAGGGCAGTAAAGCATGACATAACCTTTGTAAATGATTATATGCCAGTTCATCTTTGACACAGCCCAGGGCAGTTAAGCATGACATAACCTTTATAAATGATTATATGCCAGTTCATCTTTGACCCAGCCCATGGCAGTAAAGCTTCATTTAGGCCTGTAGCCTGTCTTCTGGTGAAATTTACATTGAAATTAAATAAATAACCTAACCTTTGAAAAATGTCAAGAATCCAAGGGGAGGGTTATTCATTCCTACACTTCAGGGAATCATTTTAATATGACTCAGTAAGAGAATTCATAAAAGAAGATTATTATTTGTATCTTTGTAATATGTACCCTTATGTGATATATTCTCCATATTTATTGCACTTGAAACTATGTTAAATCATTGTAAATGGGCGAGTGGGTGGGTTGCACAAGAAATATTTTCTTCAAGACAACAAGAAAACTGTTCTTCTGTTTACATAGACAATTTAACAGATGCAAGAGCAGATTAGTGCCAAGCTCTTATCAGCTTGGTAATTTAAAAAACAGCCATTTTGAATTTTCAGTGCGATATTCATCATTGCGTGTCTTGGATTGAATAAAAACTTGAATAAAAACAGTAACACCTATATCTGCTATTATTCCTATTTATCCATTCTCTCAGCATGTTTATAATGTCAATACTACTGAGACAATAACATTCAATACAACATTAGGAAAGGCATCAATGGAAATCAAGATTAACAAATGAGAAAAGATCGCATTGATGATTGATTTATTCAAGATGACACAAAAGTGTACTGTGTAAGTGCAAGTGCAATGTCAAATCAACAATGGTAAATTATTATATAAGTGTACTCATTGTATCATAAAGTGCTAAGTCATGCAAAATCAATGCCATGCAATATTTCTTCTGAAGTATACAGAACTTTGTAACATGTGAAGTTTTCATGAAAATCTCTCGTAAGGTGGACACCTCTATAAGTTGAAGACATTTTACTCTTATTGGCTTTGGATGTGGGCACACACAAATCTTCCATATATCTCAGTGGTGGAGCTTGCACAAGATGATCAAGGTTCGATCCCTGGTTCAGGCATCGATATTTTAACATTGGGTTTCAGTACATCATGGTGTTTGATTAGATGGTCAATATATTGTATAAAAGGCCGTGGTGTGTATTCTTGTATTCTGAGTGCAGATTGCTTGTAATTTATTTTCATTTTTGATTATCTTTTAAGTTAGATTACATGCATTATGATTTTGATATGTTTAACTTTACAATTTTGTTTTTACTTCCAGGCTGTATCCATTATGTTGCAATGGCTTAAAGAGCATAGAGACAATCCTTATCCTAATGATGAAGAAAAGGACATGCTGATACAAAAAACTAAACTCACAATTAATCAGATCAACTACTGGTTCACCAACGCTAGGCGGAGAATTCTTCCCAAATGGAACCAGGGTCTACCATATAAGTAAGAAATTTGTAAATGCTCTCTGACAAATCAATGTAACCTTTTCTACCAAGAAGTAGTGACGTATTGTTACAACCACCATTTTTGTAACTTGTGCTCAGAGTTTGATATCTGTAGTTGGTGTATGTAACAATCTGTAACACTTTTGTAACTCTTTGCGATTAATTTCAAAATGGCGACACTGAGTTTTTGAAATTATTTGTTTTGACTTGTTAAACTCTCTTCATATCACTTAGATGGAACAAAAGAAATGAGGGTGATGCCTTATGGAATTAGATACACTTTCTTTGAAAATGCAAAAAGTGAGCTTAAATATGAAATAGGTGATGTATATGATAAAGATCAGGCTAAAGAATCCATGGGGATGAGAAGTGAACAAGTAAAATAATATTTTCTTTGAAAAACCAATCAGCTTTCCTACTTACCTGTATTTTTATAGGGATTTCCTGAAATTTACTAATATCAGCTCGATTATATTTATATAATTTGTAATAACAACATATGGTAGATTGTGTTCCATTGACCAAGAGAGCAAGTTCTTTAATACAGTATAACATTAAGTATTGAGTGAATTCATATGTATTAAGTGAAATCATGATTTGACATTGTTAAAAGCTCCTGACATTGTAATTACTACAATTAAGTCAGTTTACGAGACTGTTTCATTTACTTGTCAACTGTTTGATAATGTAAGCACATTGAATGTACCTTTAATTCTTTTTATGGGCTGATTCAAATTCCAAAGTGTGATTTCTATCGGTTCATTTTGGAGAAGTTGATAATTTCCGTTAAGCTGTACTATTTAGAGAATGGTTGATAATGATAAAAACTTGTCATCTCATATATGGTCCGATTTCTTTATTTTATAAGAATGTCATATCTTACAGAACATTTGAGTTAGAAAATTGAAAGTTAAGGATGTTGATTAACTTTTGTTTGATATCTTCTAATGAGGGAATCTTCATCCTCCGATCACAGGGCTTCAAAATCCAGAATATCTTCTTTCTTTTTACCCCCTGCGATAAGCAGTTAGCATTTCCCTGATTAAGATCTCGCAACTCTGCGACAGAAATCATGTATAAGTCATTGCGCATAATTAGATCACGTGATTCAGTTAAATCAGGCGCTTCCAAATTGGTTATAGCAGGGGGAAGAAGGAGGTACGAATTCTGGACACCTGCTTAGGAAGATGGGGAATCTTAGATAAGATATTTTGTAGTGACATTGGTAATAACCATGACAACATCATATAATAATAATGATTATGTAATTACTGAAAAAACAATAGCAAATGCAATGTGAAGTGAGAATTGATTCACAATTAAATCTAGGTAGTTATTCAACTGATTGACATAACAGGGGTATGGTTTTAATCTGCATTACATTACATTAAATGTTTTAATCTCCATTAAATTCAGTATAAATCTTGTGAATGAATACCACGCTTATAAAGTGCATATCTTGAAATGTGAGCACTTTTTCAGTCCCATTTTTGCCATTTCCTAAGTGACTTCGGTGTAATAGAAATGCTTGTGAATACTTCTTAATATGAATAATTAGCCAGTCCTATCAGTGCTTATTTTAGACAGGTGTTCCAGTGGAAAAATATTATGAATAAAACATAGAAATGCACTTATAAAATCAAATCCATAGAATTCCTAGATAGAGTATGAACTTTGTAATTTCCAAAATCTTCAGAAAATATGAAAAAGAATGCTTTTATTATAAAATACATTTAATACGCCTCTTGCTTTTAAGTTAATATTGATGAAATTGTCTGTGGTTCCTGTGACATTTTCTCGTCTGGAGCGTTCAGATTCACAGGCTTTGTTTTGATAATGGAGTCTTCAATAACAATGTTTATGAAAGTGGCAATCAATGTTCTAATCATACGTTACATGTATTTGTCAAAGTGCTGCTTTTTCAAATCTAATTGTGTTTTGTTTTAATACATGCATACCACACTGTCAGTTTATCGATTATGTGTCAATATTAGCATAAACCTAGTTTTGCGTAGCTTTATATGAACCTCCATCCTAGAATCTAACATAAGTATCTATATAATACATCAATTAAAAATTTCTGTAAATGTACATTGACTATATACAATGTAATGCTTGCATGCTGTTCATACAGTAGTTCTAAAGAAGCATTTACCGGTATGATTGTACAAAGGATACTTATGTACCATTTATAATTCAAAAAGCATTCTTATTAATGCACTACTTCTATGTATGTATTGTATACGTATACAGCATTGAGATTTTTTTTCAGTCATAATCATCAAAAATCATTGTGCTGTATTTTTAATATTGTGTCAAGTTTTAAATTCGATGTTATCTCTTGATATTTTTTCTGTTCAAGGAATTTATATTTTTCATCTAAAAATAGAAAAGATTCATTCTTTAGAAATATTCGTCATATTAATCAAATCAACAGTTCGCATGATATCATTCAATACATGTTGAATCATTTTGAATGTCAGCTTGCTCTTTTAGTCTTCATAAGCTGGAAAATGAATTTTTTATCATTAATTGTTAACAAGTTATTTGCACTTTATAACATGAAATGAATAATCCGGGCTTGTGTTTTATGAATATTTAAATACATTTACGCTTTAGTCACACGATTGTGGTTGTCCTTCAGTTGTCTTAGGACTTCCAGCATTTCAAAGAAAGGCAAGAGATGTTTAGTTTGATGGGAGCTGATGATTCATACTATTGTTATTCTCACCTAGTTGATTCAGTGAAATGATTATGTGTGGTCTGATTGTCTACTGTATATGAGTTTGGTCAGTTTCAACTCAGTAGATCACTTACACTTAACTTCCTAAGGGGGCATTTTAAAATTAAGTGAGCGTTTTGCATCTTTGATTTTTCATGTCAAAATTGAATTCTGGACCAGTTTTGATAATATTATTTAGACTTGTATATTTGTTGAACGGCTTAGATTGAAATTAACTGGCTATTGTTTGGTGCTTACATCACACCCTTATTATGTCACCATGGTGACATGTTGTTATAGTCTCTAACTTTTTTGTGGCCCGTGTTCAGCACATGTAACAGCACTTTGCAGCAGTAACAGCATTCTGAGGTTGGTGTATGTAAAACATGATGGTGGTGACATTTTGCATGTTGATATATTAATGTAATACTATTTTGCATGTTGATATATTAATGTAATACTATTGCATTCATCATTGAAATTCAATGTTTAACACTTATTGTGTTTGTGATTGCAGTAGTACAACCATGGGGAGGACTTGACTAGAGCTGGGCGAATAGATAATCTTCTTCACTGCGTATAACAACATATACAAGCTGTTATGATACTCGATACTTAGCTGCCACATTTCTTACCACATGGAAGTGAATAGACAACAGACAACATTACATTACTAGGCAACTACATTGCATATGAATAGGTTGCTCATTCAATTTGGTTGCTATGTTACTGACATTGTGGCCAGCATACAATTTGGTTGCTATGTTACTGACATTTGGCCTTCATACTATTTGGTTGCTAAGTAACATTCAGTGTGGCTTATAAACAGTTTGGTTGCTATACTATACAACTTAGCAGCTATGTATAATTTGGCTGCTATGTAAAATACATTGTGGCCTGCATATAAGTTGGTAGCTATTAATACAACTCAGCTGCAAAACATAATTTGGCTACTATATTACAAACAAGGTGGTTGTTAACACAATCCAGTCTCTACATTACATACACTGTGACTTCTATATAACTTACATCAGCATCAACTATACCTTGTAGTCTACATACCCTATGAATGTTAGACCATGTCCAGAATTGAGCTGCTTCACAAAATGGCTTTGCGGTGTATGTTTACATAAAAATAGGACATATGCATACACATAACACAGAACAAAGTTGTATCATGTTGTTTTATGGAATATTAAATGCATATTAAAAAATAGCTGAGGTTAAGTTTTCTGAAATTTGGGAACTTTGAAGTCTCTATTGTAAAAACCTGCTTATGTTTGGATCAAACATAAAAATGCAAATGCATGGACTGGACTGAACCTCCAGTTCCCAAACCCTTGAAGGGGAGTGTATCCATGTAATAACAATGTACTGTAATGTGATTTTATACATGTTTCTCAATGTAAGACACCTTTATGACTTTATGACTGATCATGAGAAGAACTGATTTAAATGATATAATGTATTTTAAAGATGATGTAGAGTTTTTCATAAAACTGCTAAGCAGAGGAAGCTCAATGTTAAATTTGCTATTTCTGTGATCACATTAAATGTGCCTTTGCATCCATGTGATATGTCATGGGGTATCCTCCAAATAATGATGTAGCAGTTCATTTTTATTATTAATTATTGTCCAAGTTTGATTTTTGATATTTTAAAAAATGTGCCATACAATTTTTTAAGCGAAATATTGTTCACTCCACTTGGATTTTATCAGAAAACTGTCCTTGAATTGTATTAAAGATGCATGAGACTACTTTCGTAAGAGGCAAGGCCAATGTGTATATCAACAAACCTTGCAAATTCCATTTGGGGAGGGGGTAAAGCTTAATTTATTTTAAGTGACATACATTGATTTTTAAAGTACATGTTATATAGGGAAAGCGTGTGTAATTCACAGTGCTTTGGGACATCCTAAGTGCACTGAATAATTGATTATACTGGGTATATGCAACGAAAAGGAAATGGCTTGATGCAGAAAATAGCAATATACATACCATACATACATATATGTACATAACCAGATATTTTCACTATTAGCCCCATTACTTAAATGTCTTGTAGCCTACTAATAGTAATAAATAGTCTATGCAATTGATAGAGGGCCGCAGTACGTACACATTGCCTTTGATGCATGATACAATCAACCGAAAAACAGAGATCTTAGCAGAATGTTTATGTTGTTATACCTGAATATTGTAAATATTGTACATAGTAGAATTTTAGAAGCATATACTGTTTACACAACTTATGATATGCCGTAAGATATATTTTGTATTATACAACAAAACAAGATATTTGGAAACAAGTCCAAACTTTTTTGAATCATTTCCAAATATCGTAGCTAATTTTTGCCAAGCTGTAAATAGCTTTATAGTGCAAGAACTTATTGTATATAAAATAGTCAATATTTAAATTAACATTTTATGATGTTTTAGAAAGAAACTTTTTAGTTGAATACATTGGGTACAAAGTACCTTGTATATTCCCATGTAATTGTAAATGTGTAGAAGTAGAAAGATAGAAATCATGTGTATTAACTTGATTGAGGCATCATTGATTCCCTTGATATAAAACATCCATGTAGCCTAGATTATCCAGTATATTTTTTCAGTGGAAAATCATCCATATTTTCTCAGTGTAAGACTATCCAGTGTAATCTCTCAGTGTAAAGTCCTCCATATTTTCCGAGTGTAAAATTGTAAACTTATCCAGTGTATTTTCTCAGTGTAAATGTGTAACATGTTTAAATCCAAGAATATATTTGTATCTCAATGTGTGTACAGTGTAGATATGTTGCCCATGTAAATCCAATGTATTTCCAAAATGTAAATATGTTGCACATATAAATCCATGTATTTGTCCATTGTTACAAAGTGCAAGTGTAAATCAAAGTGTATGTATTCTAATGAGTAATAATTTACGCAAGGAGGCCATTTCACTAAAAATCATGAACAACAATTCCTGACTTTATATTATCTTTTGCGATGAAATCTCATAATTTGTTGCAAAAGATAATTGAAGTACACAATCAGGAATAACACAACAGTTTTGAGAAGTATTTTTAGGATGGTTTCATATGGTTACATGAGACACTTGTTGAAATTAACTGTTAATAGATAGCAGAACTATACATGTTGTAGTGGGAAGAAGGTATCTTGATGTGACAATCTTAATGTGTGAATGAAAGGATGTTTTAAGATGTATGAATGCTGTAAGGGTAACATACTGTGTATGTTAACTTTTCTTTTTAACTTCCAACATTAAGTTTTAGTTGTAGTTATATGCATATACTTTAGTTGATTTAAGTTTGGAAGCTGTGTGTATATTGTTATAAAGCTGTAGAAGTAGTATCAAATTTTTCCATACCCTGACCTTGACTTCAAACATATGTAAAGTTGTGTCAACAGTTAAATACTTATCCATACTGTTTAGATCCTTTTAGCAATTGGGTTTTAACAAGCTTTTGTTCCAAGGATTTTGATTTTATGAATATCTTTTTTTTCACACGTTTTCCGCTTTGTTGAAGGCTTGTTGGTTAATCCATAGCCAGTATCAAATTCATTCTACCATGCTTTCTATTCCCAAAACTGTGGTTGAGGTAATGGAAGTGATGGGACAATTACCTGTTTCTGAATACCCCTGTTATACTATTTCTATATCTTAAAAGATGCTAAGGCCCATATTGAGAGATCTCACAGCTGGCAAGCATCTATAAATTATCTGTCTAATAAATCATCTATCATAAATTATCTTCAATTCTAATGCATGCTATTACTTTGAAATAATAATATGTTAGTGTCGAGAAAATATTGTTGTATTGAAATCAGTTTGATTTTCTGGAAAAAAAGTTTTTCGTTTTATGATGATTTTTTAACAATTTTTGACATGATATTATTTTCTGGCTAAAAAGAAGAATGGATGAAATTTGTGTACAGTTCTGAGATAAACTGACAAACCACTTGCCATGTGCTTGGTGCTGTGAGATGTGAAAATAGGATACATCTTTTTTCATTTTATTTTTAATCATTAAAACTTTTACATCTGTATATCAATTCAAAATATTCCAATTACATAATGCCATTTTTTGCTATCAATACTTAACAGGAATTTTGTTGAAAGTGTGGAGACCCTTATGGTCACTGGTCAGTGAATGTATGCAACTTCATCCCAGTAGTTCCTTACTAACTACTATGTATTGAAGCTATAGTGTATGTATGTGTTGTATGCATATGCTACAGGCACAATACCAAAAACAGGGTAGTTTTATACATAATACATTTCTTACAGCTTTTGATAGAGTTTATATATCCGTTTAAATTTAAGAGCCAATAAATCTTCATTTGTAGCAAATATCTATTGTTTTGTTGTATGATTTAGAAATATGCATTTCTCTTATGATGATAGATACACCTGAGACATGACTAGTGACTACCTTAAGTTATAATATGTTGGAATTTCAGAAGTAATGTATGGGTCATGACTTGACTTAAGCATCATTTTAAATGTAATCTAAATCAGGTGAATCTATGATCTGTCATCTTAAGGTTATCTTTAACCTATCCAAAAGGTATGAAAATAATAAAATGTAATTCTGGAGTATAAATATTCAATAGATGACCTCACCTGATGACTGGGATAGTACACTAAAATAACATTAAATACAAATATATTTGAAAGATGGCAGCATCATACAAAGCCTGATGAGAGGGATAGTGCAAGAGGGGGAAACACCCCAGAGTTCATAGATGACATACCTTAATAATGTAAACCTGTTTTGGGAAGACACATATCTGATTGGTCAAAATTGATAAACAAATGACATCATCAATGTGGCATTACTCTTTGCATTAGTTCGACTTCACTTCTTTAAAAAGAACTTCCATTCATAACTGTCTTCAGTTCATAACTGGACTCTACAGTGGTAATGTGCATCAACATTTTCGAAATACGCTTAGAATATTATTATGTTCATAACGAGCGGGTTTACCAATATCATAGCTAGCTTCTTATTTCACTTCAAGATAAAGAAAGGTGTAGGGAATATGCGGATTGCCTACATCGATTAAAACATTACATTGAAGTGTAGTACATGGAAACAAGACATTGAAAATTTGGACAAACGAAGGTGGTAGGCAAAATGTCTGTTATCTCTAAGTTCTGTCGTTTTCCCTCCTCTTGGACAGTATGTTAAAATGACAATAAAATATATTTGTATTTGAAAGATGGCAGCACCGTACAAAGCCTGATGACAGGCGGTAAGCAAGATGTCTGTTATCTAAGTTCTGTCGTTTTCCTTCCTCTTGGACAGTATGTTAAAATGACAATAAATTACAAATATATTTGAAAGATGGCAGCACCGTACAAAGCCTGATGACAGGTGGTAGGCAAGATGTCTGTTATCTCTAAGTTCTGTCGTTTTCCCTCCTCTTGGACAGTACGTTAAAATGACAATAAAATACAGATATATTTGAAAGATGACAGCACCATAACGAAGGTTTATGATCATTTACATTTCATGTATCGACTGCCCTGTGTACCCTGGAAATCCCGAGTATCATAACGTGACTCTATTTCACATTTTAAAAGAAGGGGTCACAAAATAAAATGTACTAAATTAGTTACAGCCCAACCCCTAAATAACTAAAATGCAATCTTGATAGGATACGACAGACTAGATAGGACTCCAAATGGGACTTGAAACTGTATAATAGAAGATAACCACTAGATTTGAGTTAAGTATACTTGGATTCAAACTTCTAAAAAACGAATGGGGCCACGAATGGTTCAAAATGGTCCAATAGCGAATAGAACAGAACAGAAGTTCCATAAAGTGATAAATTCCGCTGGAGAGTCAGGCCAAGCCATTGAATGGCAAATTTAAAGGGACATCTATGATTTGTATTGGACGATGGATACATCTAATGACAAAGTACAATGTGTTGTTTTGCTTTCACATGTGATTTATTGGCACGTAGCTTAGTCAACAAGAATAATACTGATCATTATACATTTCAAGGTGTCTATTCGCACCTTTATAATACTGTACACGAATTCTAATACTGATATTAAGATATCTATAAGAAATGAATGCAATGTGTTTAATTCTGTGATCCCAACCATGGCAATTTAGCGCGTGCTGTCAGCTTTCGTTATCAATTAGAAAACGTTAACGGTAGACGAATGTACTCGTCTAGCGTGTTTTTGTATTGCACTGATTTATAATCTCATGATTTATCATATCATCCTCATTAGAATATATGAAAGTTGGGTGCAGAATCGTGTAACACTTGTGCATTCATTTCATTATTGGGGTAAAATTGATGCTTCTGTCCAAAAATAATATTTTCCCTCAAATCTGGGTTATTCTCAGTAAACTTTTCATGAAACTCCTTATATGCTTTCGTTTTTGAGAAACTGTCTTGGACAAGATTTAAATTTGATTGTGGCCGAGGGAGCCCAGTACCACAGGTGTAATTAAATGCTTCGTCGGTTTTGTAATTAAGATTTGAATAGTCCTCTGGTTTAAATTGGTTCATGTAAGCAGTTTTGTACTCCCATGATTTATTCATGCCTGCTGGGGCAACGTTTGTTGAATTCGAAGCAAATATATTTGTGGCAGTTTCCGGTCGTGCTTTGCGTAGTGGTGTACCTGGTACAGTGTGGGCTATGGTAGCATTCTCGGCAACAGCTGGTTCATTGATATGCCGAGATATATATGCAGTGTTAGGTGCCATTGCGTTTTCTTCAATCGAGTTCAACTGGTTCAGTTCATATCGTCCCTGTCTGCTCTGATACTGGTTCTCATTGACCAATTTGTTTGGCTGGGTCTGATGAATAGGTGGATTATTCTGTTGGGAGTATCCCACTGGATGGGTTTGTTTAGGAGTTGCTATACTGGCCGTACTTAATCTGATCGGCTCTCCGCCAGCGCCGACTGCCACCTCAACACTCTCATTAAACTTGACGCTCTTTCCCGTATTCGAACTCCTCGGGGGAGACTTCAGCAGAGACATAGCTGCATGGCGAACATTGGGGTCGATGGTTTGGTTTGAGTACGACATCAGATTAATGGGCTCTTGTCTGATTAAAGGGCTGAGCTGATTCTCTTGGAGAAACTTCTGTGAATTGTAGCTTTCGCCCATTGTGCTTTCTGTAAGCACAACACCGTTTTCCTGGACTCGTATATCGGCGGTCTCAACATTGGGTTGTAACATCGTTTTCTGAATGTCTCTCACTTGTTCGTAAGGGGCTAACACATCACGATGATTGTTTGCTTCTTGCATATTAGGAAGCGGGTTCTTCTGCGTTTCACTTTGGTCCCAAAGGGCAGCCATCTCTCCATTAAGGTGAGTTGGATGACTCAAGGCGTTTTTGTGAGAGTCCCCAGTGAGCATCCGCGAAGCAGTAGAGCTGTGTTTATCATCTAGAGAGTTGGCTAGTTTGTATGGATTATAGCTTGTCTCATAAAGTCCAGCTCTCTCGGCAGTAAATTCGCCTTCATGATTGTAGAACACCTTGGGTTGGGTCTTCCCGCTGACCTTTGAAAGTTTATGCTTCATAGCCTGAAGGTCATGGTGTGGTTTATGAAGCTCTAGCACCTGCCAACGATTAGCTGCTTCAACCTGTTGATGTGCGTCATGTTGAGCCTCACGCATTGGAGCAAGGTAGTTACCTTCTTGGGGAGGTGAAGGGGCACTCGCCGGCTTGTAGGGAATATCTTCAGTTTGTGCTCTTCCTTTTGAAGTGTATAGGGTCCCGAGACCATGATCGGGATGGCTTTCTTCTTGTGTTCTGACCCATTCCTGGCTGGTATGTTTGTTTCCAGGGTTGGTCTTATTTGGTAGGTTTACATACTGCTTCCCGTGGAGCAGTCTATGTTCCTCAAGCTCGGTCAAGGTCATCTTTCTAAAAATGTATTGATCACATCATTATTTCAAGAACATCATCATTAAACATAAAAAGTAATGGTTTGTAATTTATATATATGTGAAATACTAATAGAATACCATAATTAATGTTACCACGTACTAAGCAACTCCTTAAAGCAATAAGAAAGTATTCTAACCTAGTTATTGACTATGATTCAACCTACCTTATATAATCAGGGTTTCCTTGGAATTTGTCAAACTGGCTGTGTTCTTTTGCTTTAGGGGTGACGCCTCTTGTTATTCTACCCTCAAAGGGTCGTGGTGGATCAAATGTATTGACAGAGCTAGGATACTGAAAAATGGAAAATACGATTTTACTATTTCCAGTTCTGTTTACTAATACATTGACTTTTAAAATTGTTTCAGTTAAGATACTTCTCTCTTAAACTGAAATTATTTCGACAATTTCTTTTTTATCACAGAATGCTCTTCATTTATTTTTCTATTCGCTATTTTTCTGTACCTGGCTTAAAATGGCTTACATTGTCAATCCTGACCAAACCACAAATTACTGGCATACTGTACTGATATATAAAAATGGAAACATTGACTAGTGGATGTGGCTCATATCGATGACAAACTATGTTTCCATCATAAGATCAACAAAGGTATGAAACTATTTTACGTCCTCAAAACAGACACGTAATAAAATGTCATCTACTGTCACCATAAACTTATAAATTATTCTCACCAATTTATCATCAATGAGTCCAATCTCTGCGTATTTCTGTTTCTTATCATCGTAGTTGTCAAGTTTAAGTGGGTTAAGAGGTCCAATACCAGTGTGGTTTAGGTCATAGGTTGTTTGCCACTGGTTTCTCTCTATGTTTCGCAGGGCGTTTGCCGTTTTCGGGGTGACTTGTTGATCCACTGGGCGCTTTTCTAAGTTGGGTATGACGGTCTTTGGCGGAGAGGGAAATAACTGCTGTTGAGATTTCTCTGGGCCTTTCACATTCTATAAGCATAATTTTCATATTATCACACATATTGTGTAAAGACCAACATTTGTAAATTCATGCTACTACAATGAAATAATCAACAATCAACCAACATATTTCAATATCCGGTCATGTTTGTTGTCAGAGTGTCTTGGATGAGTTCCAGTAAATGCATTCTAAGTATGATTAGTTTGTTGTATATAATGCATGATGCGGTTCATTGAAGGGCATACCACCATATATGATATCATCAATCTCTTGCAGCATTGAAATAAAGATGAGTCTCATTATATAGATCATGCAGACTATCAATGTCTTACCTGGAAAAAGTTATCATTTCCTTGCCAAACAAGGGGATCTTTGTTAGCTTCTGATGGCAGCTTTTGAATCTCACGCCTCAATCCAGACCCTTTAGTTTTGGAAATAATGGTGCATTCATATGGCTGTGAAGGCATCTCTGCATCCTTTGGCTTGTTTTTTCTTGCGTCCACGCCACGTTTTGGATCTTCTGGGGAGTTGGCAAATGATGGAAATACCGCTGATCTGGACGTATGTGAACTGTGTGGGTGTTCCGCGGGGAAGGGCTTGTCGATACTCAGTTTGCCGATGTCCAGTTCTTGGGGCTTGGTCAAGAGCTGATCGTTCCATCTTACGTTGCTTAACTTAAGTTGGGTGAGTGTGTAGTGTTGGTCGATTGGTTTACCACTAGAATGATAAAGTATAATATGTTATCCTATGTTATATTATATTATACAAGGGTCGATCCAGATATTCTGATAAAAATGCCCTCATTTCTTTATTTTTGGAAGTTATTACTTGTAATTTGAACAGACAAAAGATAATTTATTTTGACAAAAGATATAAAAATATAAATTTTATTCCTTCATAACTCTTCTCACGGGAGAACTTTTTCGTTGCCATGGTAACGGCACCTGGGACAATAAACTAGAATAAAAGTTTAGCTACAAAATCAAGAGTCTCACAGACTGATTAAATCAACTATTATGTCCTTCATCTACGCATGCGCTCAAAATAATGTCCTTGTGCAGCCAAACATCGTCTATGTCTATCAACCCAGCGAGTATATACATCATTGCAGTCAGGGAGTTGGTGTGCAGGGAACGCATAACTGCCTGTTTCATCTCATTGACATCATGAAAACGCCTGCCTTTGAGGTCACTCTTCAGTTTCCCAAAAATTGCAAAATCCAATGGCGCTAAATCAGGGGAATATGGGGGATAACCGAGCAGCTCCATACCCATGCTCTCTCTGATAGCAGTTTGCACACATTCACTTTGATGAGATGGGGCATTATCGTGGTGAAGGATGAAGCCAGTCAGATCTCTGTCAGGGCGATGTTTATTCACGGCTTTTCTCAGATGGATTCTCAATACCTGCAAACTTGCTCAAGTGATTTGAATTTGGAGCCAGCTTCTACTTGCTCACAATGGACAATTGTCTGTTGTGATGTCACAAAACACTTAATTGATTGTAGGTGCACCTGCTAAAATGCCAATTGAAGAATATTTGACTCTAAAATGGGTCATAATGGATATAAAAGTATGTAAAGACAAAATATGAAGAGACAGAAAAGCTACTTGTCCCAGGTCCCGTTTCCATGGTTACCAATTTTTACCCTAGCAACGCATTAGTGCCCGTATGTTGACTAAACTTACATATTTTATGAGCAATTAAATTATCCTCATTTTGTGCAAGTTTGATGTTATAACTCCCAAAAATAAAAAAATGAGAGCATTTTTATCAGAATATCTGGATCGACCCTTGTATAACATTATATTATATTTTGATAATGCTCAAATGAAAATGATTAGAAACCCACACGCTCTAGGTCGCATCTACAAATAACTCTTTTGATAATGGTCATTGCAAGTCTAGGACGTTCCTCGAATAGTCTAGAGGTTATGTTTTAATTGCATAGGCTGATGTCGAAGCAACAAAGGCGACACGAAGTGGTATTCCGTATATCACATACTGTTACACAACAACTTTTCATATTATTACAAACATCCATAGCAACAGTGATTGGTATTGCATCTAATTTCGTGATATGAATAATAGATCACGGAACACGGTTAAGTAATAACAAAGGGAATACGGACCGATTCGCCGTGTCACCCCAGGAAACCAGAATAAATCAAGCGATAATGTAATGTTTATTGTGATTTTATATGTAGTGAAAGAGAAAATGATTAATCATTTATAAAGTGCAATGAAGGTCTCGATTACATTGATTATTTCATATGCTTATAGACAGATCAATGGAGACGAATTTTGATTCACTTGAACACACATATCCGCCAAAGTTGATTAATTGTAGCCATCAAGTAATAAGCTGTTTGTGGTTGTATGGTTTTTACATGTATGATCATCGATATTCAATAACTTAATATCCTAAAATTCAAGGATATCCCTTGTATCGTAATTACGATAATTTTGAATGATGGATGTCCTGTAAAGTTTTTAGGTTTATCCCATGAAAGGTATCGAATGTAAATCGACTTTTTGTTTGATTTAACTCACTTTAATTATAGAACATTTGTGATGTATATTAACTTGCATCTTTTAAAGTCAATCTAACTTTCTGCATTCATGAGTTCTATCCCCAAGAGCCTTATCTTAAATACTGATATGACATATCATGATAATAACAATAGAACACACTGAGAGTTTATATAGCAACTGACGAACGTCGTGGCCTTTAGAAAATGATTTAAAATCCCATTATTGTATTTAAATCAATTATCAATTAATATACTTTTAATCTAAAAAATGATGACCGTAATTAATATGAATTAATCGTGTTGAATTTACGGATGTGAGAAACCTGTTAATTGATTTCAAGTGAACTACATGAACACGTCAAATTTTAACTTCACTTACCTATACTGCCACGTTGGTGTCTTTGGCGTCCAAATATTTTCCTTAACTTTAAGATTTCCTCCTAATTTAGCAGTTCCCCACTCGATGGGTACCAAAGGTTTTTGTTCCACATTCGGGAACAGTTGTAACGATGTCATTCTTCTTCTAAGTTTCTAACTAGTGTGCCGATCTCTCGCCATCAACTTATCGATGTCAGTGTATACAGTCTATAGAAGTAGTCGTCGCTAGGGCCTAATACAAACAAACTCGACTCTTATTGGATTTGGAGATTGACATGTGAACAGCCGAATATGACGAATGAAATGATTGGTTGAATTCCTCAAAAGATTATCAAACAGTTTTTCACCGGCAGTTTTCTTAATTTAGACGCATTTATGTTTGATTAACGTCTATGGATACCATTGTGAGGACAATAGAATAAATTCAATTCCCGGATTATGAATTGTAGTTGTAATTCATTTTCGATTGTTAATAGAAACATGTAAATATCAAAGGGGGTTGAGTAAACTAAACAAACGTGTTTCAGATCATGCCAAGGGTTGAAGTGCATGGTTAAAACGTCCTGCTAGAATTTCAAGTACGGGTATAAAATGAATAGCCATGTTCGTCCTGTTCTTGCATTTAAACCCGTATCTCATATACCGAGTAAGATGTAATGGTAGGGGGGGGGGGGGGGGGGGTAGAGGGTATTCTTGCAAGACTACAATAGTCCCTAAGAAACACGACAAGATATCTAAAATAGAATATTATATCCATGAAACTCCAAGCTTTAGTCATTCAAAGAAACATCCTATGAAAGAAACTAAAAAGGGGCAGATGAAAAAATTAAAATCTTTTTTAAATTTTTTTTTTTGTTCATTTATGTATTGACGTGTTGCAAAAAGCTCGCGCACGCATTGTTACACATTTTGTGGCGTAATCCAGAGGATCCTCGCTTTTAACATGATAGAATGTGACGTTTTTGAGAAAAATGTACACACATGAAAATCCTTTCGTCCTCCACATTTACCTCTATATCTCAAAACATTTTAGACGAATAACTCTGATATCATATATATATTGTTAATGGGCTAGGAGCATCATAAAACACGAATCAATTGATATTTTAGGTGAAATAAATATACGTGTTGCTGTGCTTGAAAATAGGCGAATGGCGTAAATTAGCCCTATTTTAATGAATTCTGAAAACCTTTCGTCCTCCACTTTTCCACATACAGCAGAAAACTAGAGTTTAGGAGCAAAATAATCATGTATGATTTATTAAAAATTGATCTCGTATTTTTTGTTTAATGTACACCTGAAAAGTTGAAGGTACCAAAAAATGAGCAAAAAAGGTCGCTGTCAACAGATTCTATTTTTCAGACTCTATGACGTCACAATATGGGACGCTTACTAAAATTCATCCTTTGAAATAAAACTTCCATCTACCTTTATCAAGACGAAAAATAAGTATAATAGTCATATATTGTTTAAGTTATGAGCGTTTAAAGACGAAAAATAATTCAAAATGTAACGTGTCAACATGGGATATTTGCCAGATGTTTTGGTAAAAAACTCTTTTTTAAAAACGAACGCGCAAAAAATGTGAACGGAGTGTAGTTGATCTAAAATCTTCATCGAAACAGCTTTAAAATGATATATAACTTTAATTAGAATATTATCTTATAATCCGGGGAATCAAAGTTACATTCACGCGATACCCTTAAAAAACAAATGCGCCACCTTTTTGCGACACGTCATTTCATTTCAAAAATAGTAAAAACACCTTTAAAAAACGGAACAATGTTCAAATTCACACGAATTTTTTCAAGATTAAGATTTAAGCTGATACATATATAATCCATTGATTTGATTTCATGATCATTGATCACAATTTTCACAAAGTTTCACAATTGTAATTCGAAATCATCATCAAGTACATTTCTTGGCAGTTAACAATCAATAATTCTTAAGAGAAGGGACGCTTAAGTTATAGTTATTTAAATGGTTATACAATAAAAAAGTATGCACACCGTGATGCATAATTGGTCACAAATCATTTATCTGTATTAATCACTACAGGTTCTAGGTGTACATGTAGAGCATGACTACCTTTAATGAGACGACATACATAACATTAATGGACATCCTAAGGCAGAAACACGATACCACCATTACATAAAATTACGCTAATAGTATTCTAATTAATAATAAAAAGTATTATATCATCAAATAACTATCATATACTAATGCCTTTACTGTTTTTTTATCACATGGCAATATTTCACCATATAATGCTTTGATAAATCCTCTAGTTCCTACGATATTAGTCAATTTAACGATGACATTTTAAGTTTGAACAAAGTCTGCTTTGCAATGTCATTTTTGTAGAAAATTTTTCATCCCTCTATAGTCAAAGTCACTGCCCCTCAGCTTGCTGGCGTTAACCGCATTTAACGTAATCAAATTGGTAGACAAAATTTGAAAACATTCGCTAGTAGTACACGGTGCACATCGAGTAAACGCACACTTGTAAACAACTGTTCAGACATCCTGAACATCTTAAGAATTTTATCCGCCATTTTGAGTACGTTTACTCCTGTTAGCATAACATCTATCTGTGATAACTATGTCTGGTTCCCAAGGCGACGACTAAGTATTGACATAAACGTTCTGTTCTCCACACAATCTGCCACCAATTGATACAAGTGTTTCTCTTAGTTTTGAAAAATCTGGGGTAAACACATTCTCCTTTATCCCCCCTGCTATTCCGAGCCATTCGTCCTCTCCCACTATAGAACCATCAGACTGAGGTAGACCGATCGTTAATACCTCGGTTCCCATTGCCCGCAATGCGTCTGCATTTTTAAACGTTTTAGCCTGTTTTCCTGAAGTGCGAAATGCATATTTCAAGTATGCAATACGTGTATTAAACTTCGCTAATCAGAGATGAAAGCGAATTGGGTAAAATTTGATCAATCAAACGATTCCTTAAGATTTGAATTACAAACTTTAATCAACCAAACTTAACAATACAAGTTGTTTACCTGGCGGAACTGTTTTCCCATCGGTCATGACAATTGCCCAATTCTTAGCAGCAGGACGTTCCCCATGATCTTGTGTGAAGTAAATGTTTTTCATCACATCAAGTGCAGTGAATGTGTTAGTCTTGCATCCCACCTCTGTTAAATTCATGTTTTCTATCATATTCAATAATTTCCCGTCGTCCTTTCCATCGGCCAAGTAGGCAGTGTGTTGGTAGCCCTGGTTGAATGTCAAAGCACCCACAAGTACCCCGTCCTGGAGGTTGTCATCGATGTTGAAAGCTCTGGTGACTTCAGTCATGAAGGTGCGGAGATGGTCTTTGTCAATATCAGCGACCGAGCAAGACGTATCAACAGCAAACACAATGTCAATTGGAGAAGGGCATTCGATCCTTGTAGCTGAAACACGAGCGAAGTTGACTTAGTTTAAGAACATATGATGGCAATGAAATGGCGACATATTGGATGCCAAAAGAATTTCTAACGTGATCAAATGAGCTATAACTTGCAAAAGGGATCACTTTTGTAATATCCAAACAGACGAGCTTCAAATGTACTTATGACGTGCACGGGAAATGCGGGCTTATCTCAGCTTTGAACGTTAATCTCTGCCTTATTTAAAAATCCAACTATGTGTTTTACATATCATTTTGAAGTATTTTTTATTCGCATTTCAATGAAATTATTTTTCCTTCAAAATTTTGATGGGATTCAACACATTTTTAAAGTTAAATATACTCCGACATCGTCAAATACGCTGTAAGACGTAACACTTTACGCTTACAGGGCTCGTTGAAATTGAGATAACTTTTGAAATAATGATCAAAATCCCACTTAAATTTCACAATTTATTCAATGGAACATTTGCATTTATGACGTCACAATTGCTTAACGGCTACATTTCAAATTATCTTATACGAACGCTTTTAAAATTTTCAAAATTGTGTAAGGTTTTGAAGGCGAATGGGACGAGCAATAAGTTTACCTTCATTTAACCTTCTAATTTAGGTCTGATTTGAAAGAAAATTTAACTGCACAATATTGTCATGGCGAAATTTACAAAACAATAACCGGTTTGTTTATTTTGCAAATAATATCAAAATAAGAGCTGGTTTTCGAGACTTGAAAAAATGTGACGCATCGATTTTTTACCACAAATTCCATACATATCAATTTTTACTAACGCCCCAAGTGGATTTCTTGACCGTTTTTAAAATTCAAAAACATTTTAGAAATATTGTCCTCGAGATCTTGCTACCCTGTAAATTTTGTAATGATTAGATAAGGATAAAGTATTTTATTTTTAGGTTGACTAAACTTGTAAAAAATGTGACGCTTGTCGTTTTTGACGTTGTAAGGCTGTTTGCGCCCTATACTGCTCATTGTTTTGTTTTGTTTTTTGACGCCATAATGTTACGCTAATTGTCCCCAGTTTCGTGCGACGTGTAACTAGATCTTTTGGAGCCACATAGAACAAAGACCCAAAGAAGTTGCTGAAATTCGTGAAAGAAGTCGAGAGGCGGACTTACGTGGTTGACAAGTCTTTGCTGTACATTCCAAACCTCTGCAGCAATCATCGCTACCAGAACACATCACTCCCCTTTCTGCGCAACCTACAACACGAACACAAAGCTGCTTTGATTGAATCGGTTATGATCACAATATAAAAGAAGATAGAGATACATTTAAACATATGAGGTATCTATTTTTAATGAAAGTGTATGGATATCCAGTGTGCAAATGTCAAAATACCAGTGTCAAATTCAAAATATAAACTATACTGAGAACAGATTGTTATTGGTTCATGAAGTAGAGTGATGGAAATTAATAGAACAGAAGTTTATGCATCTAACTACCGAAAAACATCTTTTGATAGAACTTTTGACACATTCGCCCTTCACCCACTCCACTTGACAACCGGAAATTCCCTTCTGGATAAAGTATTTAAACCCTTAAAACGATCAAAGGAGTACGTAGGTTATCGCAAACAATTTCAGAAGGTTATGTCTTGGATTATGACTATTTTCTGACAATGAAGACAGGTTTATCTTTTAGATCAATTCATTATCTCAAAGAAAATTATATACAGTAATAATAAAGTCAAACAAACTCAGAGATATTTAACTAGCAATCAACCCATCAACACACTTTTTCAAAGATGTTGACCCAATTTTCACCAAAAATGCAATCATTTTTTAATACATTACTATTCTTTATTTTGATGTATCAAATAGTTCTTGAAAGAAAAACTTAATTGCTTTAAGATAAGTGTTCCCCATGTTATTTCTCCATTGAAAAATCTCATGCTATCCATTGGTTTCAGTACATTTTGGTCATCCAAATTCAGTATCTCTAAAGTCCCTGGAGCAATCAACTTTTCCTTTTAGGAAATCGAACATGTCTCAAAGCACATTCTAATTATGCATTCAACAATATAATAAAAGGTTGCATTTTTGGTGAAAGTTAGGTCAACATTCTTGAAAAAGTATGTTGATTGGGCCATTGCGGCCTTCAATATCACTTAGGTCTGATTAATTAGATTATCATTATATATACTTTTCTTGAAGATAATGAATGAATCTAAAAGATACACACATGTGCATGATCAGAAAATATTCATAATTCGTTAGATCAACGGACATTGCAATTAAAGAGTGATAGGTGATATGTTCTATACAAACATACAAGTGGCCTCTCTGGAGCACTGTAACTGGGTGACATCATTACAACAATCAAGTTGTTTCGCACTGCTAGGTCCACACTTTTCTTTCAAAGATGCACATTCTTCTACGCCTGAAACATCAAATAAAACAAGTGAGTTAAAAATGACAAAACCTAAATTACGCCAAACGTGACAATGCTAATTGTTGCTGTATGATGCATCCATGTAAATGTATATAGTAACTGGGCAACTTCTTCAATTCTCGATAACTTTTCATAACATTTCACATGATAAACTTCAAAGCATTCTTATCATACACAATATCATACAGAATCTGGCCATATTTAAAAAAAATTAATTGAAAATTATAAATATGAGTTAAACGAAATATTTTCTATGTTAGAAATGGTTTAAAAGATCTAGTGCACTCTCCATTATGATTTCCCCATGAACAAAATGAATCATGTGTAGGTGTTACATAAAGAATACAATGTCACATAATACTTTGGAAAATATTTAAGCATTTGGAACCACATTGGCTGAGGTTGAGGTCATTAAGTTCAGCAAGGATGTATTGACTTGATATTGGATGTGCTCCATTGACTTAACATGTGGATATCATCAGATTCCAATGGACGCCATTGATTTTTATTGATTTTCACAAAAATATCTAAATTACACTATGACCTGAATCGAATGCAAATTAAATAATTTCACAATATGACACAAATGGTATTTCACATCAGATGTGCAAATATAAAGTTTGCAATCGATTTAGGTCATACTTCAAATTAAAAGATTGTACATTTTCCCCTAATTTTTTTCCTACAAAATGGCTATAGAAAAATGCTTCAAAAGCAACTTTTACACTTATGAAATGCCACAACTTTGTCGATCCAAAGATTATACTGTTTCATTAATTAAAAACATATTTGGATAAGATGAAGGGATGTGTTGGCTGCAAATTTGATTTTGACAGACACAAAAATACTTCCTGGTTTGGAATCTATGCCTCTACACTAAGCCTTCATGATTGAATTATGACCATAATAAGTGGCCCATACATCAATACAGTACTCCATATAGGTCAACAAGATACTAATGTGCATACAAATGTAATGATAAAAGCAGTATACCAGTATACTCATTTTGAAAAATCAGATGAACAATTTTTTTTCATGGGGAGATCATTATGGAGAGCGCACTACTTCCTTTTATCCTTTGAAACTGTAAATTGAGTCACAAATCAGAAATATTGAATTCAAGATAATGTCTCACGTGAGCAAGTCTTGGGTTCTTCTGGGTTGTTCTCATCTATTTTGCAGACGACATCATTTTGGTCTTCACAGCAATCACTATTTTCCTCGCATTCTCCTCCCTCAGTAACACAACCTAAATTGAATGATGAAAACATACTACTTGTAGATGGGAAACGTACAATTATTCCTGCATTGTTTTGTCTTAGACACAAGATCACATTTTATTAACATAGAATATTTATTGAGTACATTCACACCCCTGGGGTACAAGAAAGTGTAGTACATAAAAAGAATATATATGATTTAACACTAGACTACTATATACTACATATAATATATGCCTAACTGATATTTCAAATACGGACCAAGCAGATTCAACAAAATTGTGTGGAATATTTATGTAATTTATGATTGGGAAAATATTAGTTTTCTTACTATTTAAAAGATTTATTACAAGAATTTATCCATATTATCGCAAGGGGTCAAACTCCAAATTATTGTTCATGTTTTATAAAACATAATACAATAACAAATAGGTAAGAATTATATCTAATTAAACGTTGCAGAGGTATTGGAATGTTCATATATTCCAAGGGCATGTCTAATAATCCATTTGAGTCTTATGCAATCGAACGCCTTACAATTCTTATTCGACGTTACTGCTGGCTATCATTAAGTGTTCTGATGGCTGATTTTTCTTTGACCTTACTGCTGGATATAATTAAATTTTAGTACGATAATGATAACGATTTTCTCAGTTATTCATGAATTCGACCAAGTCTTTAAGGTTGTTTATAAGCAACTGAGCAATATCTTATTACAAGAAATAGAATTTTAGCTGTTGTCGCAATTTATCAAGGAAGAGCAATAGGCCCTCCTTTATTGAAAATGTTCGCCACGGAATATCAGTCCATATCTCAAAACGTATTGAGACCCATTTTGTGAAAAACGAGCATAATTTGAACATTTGTCATTCTAATATAAACGTGATTCATTTGTACCATTTATCTATATTTTTTGGTATTTTTTTACCTCTGCTAATGACAGGCATAATTCAGCCTAAAAGCCAAAAGTATATTAAACGGTTATAATATAAATTATCAGGGAACATATGTAGTTATGTTAATATTAGGTCAAACATCGCTGCGCTATAGTGTGTTACCAGCTCCTTTATTAGACGTCCTAGAGATTTCAAACCATGGACTAACTTGTGTTGTATATACAAGAAGCATATTACTAACATGTTTTCCCAGGTCCACATTTTAGATTCAGTATGATATTGGTGTCGATTGGATCTCTCTTACAACATTCTTGATTCGTTACGTGATTACCAAGACAACCCTCGCCTAGCACAGGGCACACGAAATCTGGAATGGTTTCAGATACAAACAACTCTATCCATTTAAAACATCAAACCCATTCTGATTCATCAACCTATCTTTATCTAAAGCTTGTGATAAAGAGAGATTCTGATAAATCAGAATGAATTTGAGGTATTTTATGGGATAGTAGAGACTCTGGATTCCAAAATGTCTCGAAAGCTAAGTTCACACCAATGGCGCTTTGATGGCGTTTTAAAGCGCCGTGCAAAGCGACTTTGTGATATGGAGAATCAAAGTAAATAATAAAGGAAATGAAATGAAGGAAATCTAGAGTAAGTCAATAAATGCCTTCGATATAACAAATAAGACAATAATTTGAAAATGGTTCAAAGCATAGTAAATAGTACTAGTAGTTTCAAAATCAAAAAGGTGAAATATTTATTTATGATTGAACATGCATATTAAAAATGAAGAGAACATATTTTTCAATTGGCTAACAGTGCAAAAAAGTATTTATGGCCTACCCTCTAGAGGCCTACATATCCCTTTGTTATCACACTGCAAATCCCCACAACATTTTCCGCCACCTGGACATCTTCCTTGGCCCTCTTTTAGACATGGCCTAGGTGTGGTAGGCGTAGTTGACCTTGGTGTAGGCTTAGGCGGCGTCGGTTCACCCTCTACACGAATAATTTGTTTGTTTAATTGAACGTTATGTAAAGCTAAGTTCACACCAACGGCGCTTTAAAGCGACGTGCAAAGCCTTTTTGTACGCCGCTTTAAAGCGCCGTTGTTGTGAACTTAGCTTTAGATAAGGAATGAAGTGGAGTGATCCTTTGAACAGGAACACATTGCATGGATGAAACTCAACCGAAATGTAGACATTCTATGCAGAAGTGCGCTGCTATTATTGAATGATAATTACACAATTGTAACAGTGTGTAAAATTATATACCTATCAGAATACACTGGTCGTCACTTTTGACGTTTCAAACTTTAATATTAAATATTTACTTGCATATACAAGACTTTCCAGTATTATATTTACTGTAGCATATACAATACTTTAATTTGAATATTGTCAGATATATAAATTTGACCTACTTTTTCTTTCCAAGACAGTCTGATAGCACTCAGTAGAAAATGCATTCCTACACAGATTAAGTTTTGTTCTTTTATGAGAATAGTATTTCCTGTAGAATTTAGGTACCGAGGCCCCAAATGCACACGTCCTTAGTTCCCAAAGCCTCCTACTGGTACAGTAGTAGTATATACAGGAGTCCTCTCGATCAGAAACGCGTGTTCCGGAATCCTCGAAATTGCAATCTAAGAAATACATGTCGTTTTGTAATACTGAATCTCAGCATCATGTATTGTTGTGTACATGTTCTATTTACTTTTGCTAAAAAAACTAATTTAGTCTTATGCCCTAAATAAATCAGGACTGCTCTGTTCAGATATCATCAAAAGAATTGACCACTTGGCCCTGACAAAGATTTCTAAAAATAAATTCATTTCTGTCCGACCTGCTAAGTTGGAATCCTTCTATAAATGTTTATGTTTGTGACAAATATTTTCCTTGAGTTGAATGATAATTTCAGAAAGCTTTTAAAGTTAAACCATGTGTAACTGACAATTTTCATTATATGCAATTTTCGAGGCTAAGATATTTTAGATATTGTTTATGCAATAAAGTAGTATTTCTTGAATATGCACCCTGTTAGTATTCCTTGTGTTATCAATGATCTCATACTACGCACGCGTTATAACCAGAATTTCCAGAATATCTAGTAAAGCTAAGTTCACACCAACGGCGCTTTGATGGCGCTTTAAAGCGGCGTGCAAAGCTGCTTTTGCACGGCACTTTAAAGCCTCCATCAAAGCGCCGTTGGTGTGCCAGTAAATCTTCATGGGCATTCAACCCAAGCCGAACCATATGTACTGCATCGTGGCGATTATTGGAAATAAATATTTTATAAGTATATATTTGTATGGATCCCAAGAGACACTTACCAATTGAAGGTCTTCCTGCAGTAACAAAACTGCTGAAAAAATACACAACTGAAACACAACTTATTGCACTGGATATAAACATTTTAAATGCACCAGCAGAAACGTCGTCCAGATATCAATGTCCTCCTTCTGGTGGGTCCTCGGTGAGTTCCTCTCGAGTTGAGTTTTATCTTAAATGGAAAATACTGGGGATGTCATTAGAATTCTAATGTGATTATTCTTTAGCAATCCCGCTAATTAAATATAAATAAACACATATTATTTATGAATTTTTAATTCTTCACTTCAAGGGCTATTGTATTCATTTGAAAAGATGTTAAGTGAGCCATTGTATTTAATTATTATCAAATGGATTAGTGAGGAATGATAAAATTGATCATACGATATCTTATAAACAATTCTATGATTACAAATAATGTTCATTATTAATTGATGATGGATAATTATAGAATTTTAAGAAGTACTATTTTATGTAAACTATTTTACATTTTGTCGTATTCCAGTGAATGTCCTGTGAAACTGTAGCATGTTTGCCAAGATATTCCTTAGCTTCAGATTGTATTCATATCAATTACTAAAATCTAAAAACGAGAACAACGATGATATCTAAGTAAAACAATGAACAAATAACCCGGGCGCAAGGCTAGCTAAAGTTGAATGTTGCAGCTACAGGGCACTCTGCCTTTGAAAATAATAAAGAATGAATATGCAAATGTTTCAATAAAATATAATTAATTTATTGTTACAGTTCTTTACACACCCACTTCGACAAGATATTCAATAAAATGGATTTAAATTATTGATTTGTTTTAACGCCATCTGGTCCACATAAAGCCTTTCCAATAGCTTCTAATGCAAGTCTGAGCTCCAAAAACTTAAAACTGTACACATTTGGTAAACCTGGATAACCGCCTACAATGTGTATGAACTCATCAAAGCCTACAAATTTTGGAGCACAATTGGGTTTATTCTTCTTGCATTTTTGTGGTAAGCCAACAATAAGGATTTCAGCCTTTTTCCGGAGATCATCCGAGTTCTTCAACGTGTCATTCTTTTTATCTGAAAGCAAAAGCAGATACGATTGAATGCAAGTAATTTTAACATCAGCGGGTGACCTCCGCTAAGAGAGGGAAACATATGCACTGTGTTCATCATCCCCTCAAAGATAGATAGCAACGATTTAATGAGGCAAATACTGCAAATAATTCAGGTATTTTGACGATGTACTTACGATCTGGTTTTGTTGCGCCATCTGATACCAGTACGACTGTGTTCTTTACGTTTGGCCGATCCCCTTTTTCAGCAGTGAAAAATTCTGTTTCTATCATTTTTAACGCATCAAACGTGTGAGTGCTGCAAAGTTTATCATTTGCAAGATTCAGTTCCATGTGTTCTATTGTAGTTATTACTTTTTCAGGATTGCTCGCATCATTTAAGTAAGTTACGGGCGTCGTTTCTGAGTTAAATGTCAATGCACCGATTTGAAATCCACGATTCGGGTCTGTTGTTAGCTCAACCGCTCTAGCCATTTCTGCCATAAATGTTCGCATGGTCTCCTTGTTATTCGGGATAATGGAGCACGATGTGTCAACTGCGAAGACAATATCGACTGGTTCTTTACATACAAAGGAGATAGCTGAAAATGATCGTGAAGTATGATCACAATTTGTCGCCAAAATAGTGAATTATCATCCATCAATTTTCAAAATTCTGTTTGAAACAGAAAGCCTGGGTATGAGTATCTATAAAATCAGATATCGAAAAACTTACGAGGTTCACATTTCTTTCGAGTGGTACATATCAAACCGATACAACAGTCAGTATCATTAGAACAGCCCCCTTGCTTCTCTACACAACCTATTGAATTGGATCAGCATGTACAATTGTGGTCTGGTAACATTTCGTTGGTTGCACTTTCATGATGTCATTATTATCCTCGTCAATTAAAAATCTACTCACAGGTTGATGCCCTGGAACATTTTAGATTGTTGGTTTCGCAACATGGCAGTGCACCATTTCCAGCGTTTTCTCCACGATGACATTGCTCATGCAAATCCGCGCATTCTTCTTCTTCAGCCTCGTCTGTCCATGTTGCAATGAACGACATAGTATGAAAATGATATTTGAATGCAAAAAGTCGAACCCAGTAGACCAATCTTAGCATGATTTTGAAAGGTGGTAGCTATATTGCCATTGAATATCAAGTTAGAAACTAACTACGTATAAGGAAATTATCTCAATAAGAGACAACCATATGAAATAACTTGTTCAAATGCAAATATACAAATAATCAGACTGCTAAAATTGATTCATATAGTAAGGCAACATGCAATAACTGTCGCGACACTTCTTATTAAAACACGAAAGTTGTACCTGTACAGACGGGGGGAATGTTAGTCCAACCATCCTCCGTGCATTGAATTTCTTCAGCGCCCTTCAACTCATATCCGTTATCGCAATCAAACCCAACAGAACTTCCGCAGACGTCAGGTCCTTGACTAGGATCACGCTCTCCATTGTCAGGCGCCTCCACTTCGTCGCACACTATTTCTAAATGCGCGAAGTGGATTTTTGAATACCAACGATTAACAGATAAACCGAAATTGATATTTATTCGCGATGATGCTAGTTACCATGCCTTTTTACTGTTTCTTAGAGATAGTTATTGGTTAAATAATCACAGTGTAAAGTAACACTTCACTTCATTACCTTTACATCTCGGGATTTTGGGATTGATTGTCCCATCTGGCATACACTCCACGAATTCACCACTTCCATCACTTGTATCCAATGAATAACAAGGATCTGAACTAGAATTAAGCAAAACTATAACCATTATTCATCCGAACAACATCTTGTAAAATGGTGTCCCTTTATTTCTTTGATTTCAAACTTTCTGTTTGTTTACATGTGTTTGATGCAGACTTACAGATGTCTACTTACTTGAAATAAACCCTTTCTCCCACTTTGAATCTTCCATTGTCATTATTTGCACTCCTTGAGGTAATGCCACAATTTGGAGATGGCATCGGGTATGGGCAATTAATTGCTAAAGCATAAGTAAAGGTAGTCTTAAATAATACAAAAACAAAATCATATTTCACAATCTTGTGTGTGATTAAATTGGCCCATTTTTTATTGGATTCTCTCTCAGAAAATATACTAGCAAGTAACGATTCCATTTAGCGATCTTACGGATGGACCATAGGCAATTTGACAAAAAATGATCAAATCACAAATTGAAGAGAATATAATTATATAATATATGTTATGTTATTTATGTTATATTTTATTTATGTCTCACGCCATTTAAAATACATACAATTATAAAACAATAATATTAAAATCGTCTGGCCCGGCCGGTGTCGACCTATGAGAGACTAGATTCAGTATGACTATATAAAAGGTTAAATTATCACAGTAGAGTACGTCTTTTTAAAATCATTTTTATAAGTGTTTTGGATAGTGTCCTTTGTAGGCTCTGTGTTGACATAATATTGCAAAATTGTTGAATATGGTTAAGCTGGTGAAAGTCAGGAATTTCCTTAACACAATCTAAAAACAATGGAGTTCTCAGTTCTTCATAACTATTGCACTGTAAAAGAAAATGAAACTCGTCCTCAACAGTTAAATTATCACAGTGACATCGGCGATCCTGGAGTGGGGTATTGTTATATCGTCCAGTTTCGATCTTCAATTGTATCAGATGCTGGCACAGTTTTGCCGGAAGTTTGCAAGAAGTAACTTTTGGCAATGCAGTGTGTTAGAGTAACCTAGTAGGTGTAAGAAAATATAAGGTGATGGCCTTTAAAGTGGTAAAAACAATTTTCACGGCCGAATTGGACTTCAATTCCTGCGATTTCAGGGGGTACTATAAGACTATTTCATAACATAAAGGATATAGTTGCTATTGTTCTGCTTTCTACAGCACACATTACTAGTCCAAAGATGAATAATATCCTAAAGTTATAGGCCGATATCTGTATTAGTCTCAGAAATATTGCAATTAATAGGAAAAAAATACGCAATTTTAGTCATTTTTAAGTCTCACGTATCTTATATTTGTAGCTTCCAGCAAAAGATGGCAGCTTAAATAGCTCAAAATTGTTTTCTAAAAACTAATTCAAGCTTTGTTTGATATTGTAATACAATTATAATAATGATAATGTACTATTTATGATTTTTAATATGACTTTATAGTACCCTACCCCTGGAAAGTGGGCGTGGTCAATGTTATCATTTTGCAGCATACAATTAAAAACTTATATTGATAGAAAGCAAATCAATGCATTTTTAACATTTTCACTTGTTACTTGACATTGTAATTCATTCATTACTAAAATATAGGACTCTACATATTTTATATATACGTTTTCAATTTTGTACAATGTATCATGATGAAATCTAATAGGCTGGTTCATTTTCAGTGTTCAGTAACGCATGAAATGTAAGTCACAGTGTTTCCAAATTACCTTTGCAATGAGAAAGTACCACAAAGACTACATAATATGAGCAGTTTCAAGGTACTAATACTAATACTTACCGATCTATCGGCGTTCAAAAATAGAGAAAGCTGTCGTGAGTGCAGTTTTAACTAACTTTGAACTGAAACTGCTGCTTAGATCAAATATTCACTTCTGCATGTACTTTTAAAAAGAGGCAAAAGGACAAAAAACCTGTCAGATATCGTGAAAAATATGAAAGATGCACTATTCAGAACAATTTATCTCTTAAATGTTACTTTTATTTGACATAATTTCTGATTCTGCCTCCAGTTAGTACCACCAATAATACATATGAGAAGACTTAACGTCATAGTATGTGGAAGTACAGATCTATTGGCTTCTGAAAATGGGAAAAGCTGTAGCAAGTATGATTTTCACCAGTTTTTCATCTAAGATTGCAACTCTCTGAATTTTCTTTTTACAAACTGCACAGTAAGACCAAAGACATTAAAGGAAACCTGGTCATTGTACCACCAATAATAGGTAAAAATAATATTGGTAATATATACCAAGTGTTTACTTTAATTCCAAGGCATCTGAATTGATAAATAAATGAAATCAGTACTTTATTGTATCTTGGGACAAAATACACTGTTTGAATGCTTAAGCTTGACATCACAGTATCAAGTGAAAGTTGTTATATACAGCTATATATCACTTTAACTGACTTTACTCTTCAATTTGAAATATGCCTGGCCATTCTAAGAAAAATGCGACAGAGGGCAAAGAGGGTGCATGGTATAATTGGTAATTAAGCTCTTCTAGAGTTTAAAGCTCCCACAATTTTTAAAAACGAAATGGAGAATAACATGTGAAAGTATAGGATGGACTAATTGTTCTAAGAAAGTTTTTGAAAGTAACATTGCATGAAATATTTAAGCAAGAGATATGTTCGAAAATGCTTTCAGGTAGAAATAAAGCTCCGTAATGTAAAAACAATGTATTCTCAGTATTCAATAATAACATTCTTTATAGGTTTTTTGGTCTTAAGCATATATATATAGGATATCCTATGATTTATGAGTGATATGATTTTTATCCACGAATGGATATGATCATCTGCACGAGCGAGCGTAGCGAGAGAGTGCAGATATCAATATCCATGAGTGGATTAAAATCATATCACAAGTAAATCATAGGATGTTCTTTTTATTCCATAGTTAAAGTCATCATCAGAATCGTCGGAAATTAAGTGATTTAATTCGAATTTTCCAAACGATCCGGCGGTAATGACACTTAGCCTCGTTTTGAGTCTGAAGTAGCAAAAATCCATAAACCATCGCATACGGCGCCGTATGTCATGGCTAAAAAACCGTATGCTATGGTTAAGTGAAAATTTGTCAAAAATATCATATTTTACCACTGATTACAAAAATATCGTTTTTATTTTCACATGTTATCCTATGAATATCATGCTAACTATGGAATAACAGTGATAATCCCATGGTTGCAAGGATATAGATCGAATATCACATGAAGATATATTTGATATGTGGATCAAGTTATAATATTTTAGCAAAAAATTCACAAACCATCGAATATCACTTTTAAACTATCGAATATCACGTCTTAAAAAGTGATATTCTGTGGTTTGAAAAGTGATATTCCATGGTTTCGAATTTTTTCAAAAAAAAATTTCTTTTTACATTTTTTAATTATTTTCAAAAATATTTAAAAAAAATTTCAACATTTTTTCACAATTTTTTTTCAATTATTTTTTCAAATTTTTTCTCGAATTATATTTTTCACATTTTTTCGCTAATGATGATTTCCCATGGGATAAATTTTTTTTTTCAAAAATATCAATTATATCCACTCATGGATACAAATATTTTCACTCACTCGCTGCGCTCACTCATGAAAATATCAATATCCACTCATGGATATAAATGATATTTTTTCAAAACCATAGGATATTCCTATATTATATCAATCCGGATCCTGAAGTCACTTAATAAATAATAACTAGATGTAACTCCTAGTAAGCACTTCAAGTTTCAGTTCTAAATAAAATACAGTTTAGTTAAAAAATTGTTAAGAATACATACATTTTTTCACAATCACAATTTCCCCATTTCTGACTGTATTTTGCATATTTTTAGGTGTCAATGGTTCAATGATTATTTGATATAACCTCCTGAAACTACTCTTATATATATTTGGTGGTACAGTGATATGGAATCCTGTCTTTTGGGGTCTCACGGAATTCTTGTTTTAGAGAAGAAAATCCTGAAAGCTGCAGTTTAATATTATGAATTATAGGTGAAAATTGCACTTGCTACACTGCTTCTCCCATTTTTAGATGCTAATAAATCTGTAACTACACTTACTATGACCTTAAGTCTACTCATATGTATTATTGGTATTACTAAGTAGAGGCAGAATCAGAAATTATGGGTAAATAAAAGTAAAATTTAAGAGATAAATTGTTCTGAATAGTGCATTTTGTCACATTTTTTCGCGATATCTGACTGCATTTTGTGTCTTTTGGTTTTTTTTAAGAGTCCATGCAGATATGAATACTTGATCTAGAGCTCTGAAATTTTCAATACCAGAATTTGGTAGCACTATGTCTTGATATCCTGTGTTTGGACTCTAACCAAATCACAGTTGTTGAGAAAAAAATTCATAAGTAGCACTTTTAATTCAAAATTAGTTGAAACGGCACTCAAGACAGCTTTCCTCATTTTTGAAAGCCGATAGATCGGCAAGCATTTACACCATGATCTTCAATCTGGGCATACATATTCTTAATGGCACTATCTCATTGCCCAGATATTGTGGAAACATTGTGACTTATATTCCATGTGATAGTAAGCACTGAAAATGGACTTGTTGCATTGTGGCGGACCCCATACAAAACAAACATAGGGGTAAGGGGGGGGGGGGGGGGGTTAAACGTTGATCAGTTCTGCTATTTTTTGTGGCTATTGGTCATATAGTAGATCATTTTGTCAAAAGGTAAGGGTGATCCGAGAAAAAGTTTGTAAATTGAAACAGTCTATTAGATTTCATTATGATACATTGTACAAAATTGAAATTGTATATATAAAATATGTAGAGTCCTATATTTTAATAATAAATGAATTACATTGTGAAGTAACAAGTGAAGATGTTTTATATGCATTGATTTGCTTTCTATCAATACTAGTTTTTAATTGTATGCTGCAAAATGATAACATTGACCACGCCCACTTTCCAGGGGTAGGGTACTATAAAGTCATATTAAAAATCATAAATAGTACATTATCATTATTATAATTATATTACAATATCAAACAAAGCTTGAATTAGTTTTTAGAAAACAATTTTGAGCTATTCAAGCTGCCATCTTTTGCTGGAAGCTACAAATATAAGATACGTGAGACTTAAAAATGACTAAAATTGCGTATTTTTTTCCTATTAATTGCAATATTTCTGAGACTAATACAGATATCGGCCTATAACTTTAGGATATTATTCATCTTTGGACTAGTAATGTGTGCTGTAGAAAGCAGAACAATAGCAACTATATCCTTTATGTTATGAAATAGTCTTATAGTAC